ACTGCGCAGCCGTATGTGCCATAGAAAACTACTGCGCATAAATATTAATAAATTTTATTTATTAACAACATTATATGTTTACAGTAACCTTACATCAACCTTACAGTAACCTTAAAGGAAGCTTACAACTATCTTACCGTGTAAGCTTACCACAACTTTACCATGTAAACTTACCACGACCTTACTGTGTAAGCTTACCTTAGCTTTACTGTGTAAGCTTACTGTAAGGCGGAAGTTTTAAGATGACCTCAAGGTTACTGCAGGCTTACACGGTAACCTTACAAACCCTACAGATATCCTTACAGTAACCTCCCAGCAAGAAGTCGTGCTATGTGGGTATATATAAAAATTTATTTATTATATTTTATGCGACTTTTAAATTTTTGGTCAAAAGAAAATCGATTTTTTATCGAAAGTAAATCACTTATAAAACTTTTTGTGTCGATATATTCGTTTCGGCAAGTATTACATCTTTTGCAGCATTTATTTACGAGTAATTTTCATTACCCACCAAAATTTCCTGAAACTTGACAGAGCCTCACACGGCAAGGTTAGAAAACTTCAGTGGCAAGGTTCATACAAGTTTGTGTCGATGTTTAAATGTCCGCATGAAATGAATATTTACACGAAACTTTGAGGAAAGATTACACTATAAATATTTACGTGCAATGTTCAGTCAATATTGTGTCAATATTCACCTATACTTCTTATATCCCTGTTGAAAATTCCGACCTCGTTTACGACGTCGTATTCTAAGTAGTTTGTGACGTAGTAAACGACGTAGTAAACGACGTAGAAAACGACATAGTAAACGACGTCGTAAATGAAAGCGGAATTTGGGATAGTAAATGACGTCGATTACTACGTCGTTTACTACGTCGTTTACGATGTCGTTTACTACGTCGTTTACGATGTCGTTTACTACGTCGTTTACGATGTCGTTTACTACGTCGTTTACGATGTCGTTTACTACGTCGTTTACGGTGTCGTTTACTACGTCGTTTACGATGTTGCAAAAATTATTTTAATATTATTTATTTAGTAATTTAGTAAGTCCAATATCCAATATTAAAAATTTGAATAATAATTTAAAAAATCAATAAGTTAAAAAAAAATTTATTTTTATTATTTTTTAATAGTTATTATTATTATTATTTTATTTTTAATATTTAAATTAAAATAAAAAAATGGTCATCAAAATATTAGTGAAACCATTTCTTCCAAAAAAGAATTTGTCTCAAATCCAATAAATAGGTAGGAGAGACATCGGGCAGAAAAAAATTTCGACAAGAAAAAAATTTTCGATCACTGCTTATATACCAATCTAATGGCACCTCAACTGCGAGAAACAGTTATGATGTTCGCCCTCCCTGTGGCGTTGAGCGAACTTAAGTCCAGAGCTGAGCCATCAGCGCAGCGCGGAAACATTTGAAAAATTTGATTTTATTAGATATTTTATTTTATTTTAAATATGACAAATAATTAACTTAATAAATAACTAATGTCATGAATAATTATTAATAACATAATGTCATACTTAATAATTCGTTAATTAATTATTTTTAACGAAAATTTGACAAAAAAAAAAATTGTTGGCCAAAAAAAATATTACCATTAAAAAATAATTTTTTGTTAAATTTTTGTAGTAAAAAAAATTTTTTCAAGACAATTATTTGTGACCTAAAAAAATATCACGATGAGAATATAATTAACAAAAAAAAATTACTCGTAGCACAGAAAAAATTTCACCATGAGAAAATAATTTTTTTAAAATTTTATTTGTAAAAAATTTATTGGTAGCTCAAAAAAAATATCACGATGAGAAAATAATTTTTTGTCAAATTTTCTCTGTAAATAAATTAATTAACTAAATAACGTACCGTAAAACAGGGTTATTTCGCTCATTGCGGGTAAATTCGCTCACCCACTTTTATGCTTTATTTCAGCATTAAAATAAAGTTTAATACCTTTATTACCAGGTTAAAATGTTAAATTTGTTAATAGAAATACTAAATTTTAGTTTAAATCAAATTTAAAGCAAAAAAATGGGTGAGCGACTTTACCCGCATTGAGCGAAATAACCCTGTTTTACGGTAATTATTAGTTACTTCATTTTTTTACTACGAAAATGTAACAAAAAAATATTTGTAGCACAAAAATAATATTAAGATGAGAAATTTAATCAGTTTTAAATTTTCTCTGTAAAAAAATCTTTTGTGGCCTAAAAAAATTATCACGATAAGGAAATAACTTTTTTGTCATATTTTCTCTCCAAAACAATTAATTCACTAAATACCGTAATAAATCGTTTATTATTTTTACTACGAAAATTTACCAAAAATTTATTCGTAGCACAAAAGAATATCACAATAAGAAAATAATAATTTTTTTCAAATTTTCTTTGAAAAAAAAATTCGTGTTTTTAAAAAAAATTACGATGAAAAATAATTTTGTTGTAAAAATTTCTCTGTAAAAAAATTTAACAAAAAAATTATACGTAGCACAAAAAAATATTACGATGAGAAATTTACTTATTTTTAAATTTTCTCAGTAAGAAAATTATTTGTGGCCCAAATAAAATATCAAGATGAAAAAATAATTTTTTTTGTCAAAATTTCTCTGTAAAAAAAATTAATTAAATAGTGAGCTTAATAATTAGTTAATTAATTTTTTTACTACGAAAATTTAACCTGGTAATAAAGGTATTAAACTTTATTTTAATGCTGAAATAAAGCATAAAAGTGGGTGAGCGAATTTACCCGCAATGAGCGAAATAACCCTGTTTTACGGTACGTTATTTAGTTAATTAATTTATTTACAGAGAAAATTTGACAAAAAATTATTTTCTCATCGTGATATTTTTTTTGAGCTACCAATAAATTTTTTACAAATAAAATTTTAAAAAAATTATTTTCTCATGGTGAAATTTTTTCTGTGCTACGAGTAATTTTTTTTTGTTAATTATATTCTCATCGTGATATTTTTTTAGGTCACAAATAATTGTCTTGAAAAAATTTTTTTTACTACAAAAATTTAACAAAAAATTATTTTTTAATGGTAATATTTTTTTTGGCCAACAATTTTTTTTTTTGTCAAATTTTCGTTAAAAATAATTAATTAACGAATTATTAAGTATGACATTATGTTATTAATAATTATTCATGACATTAGTTATTTATTAAGTTAATTATTTGTCATATTTAAAATAAAATAAAATATCTAATAAAATCAAATTTTTCAAATGTTTCCGCGCTGCGCTGATGGCTCAGCTCTGGACTTAAGTTCGCTCAACGCCACAGGGAGGGCGAACATCATAACTGTTTCTCGCAGTTGAGGTGCCATTAGATTGGTATATAAGCAGTGATCGAAAATTTTTTTCTTGTCGAAATTTTTTTCTGCCCGATGTCTCTCCTACCTATTTATTGGATTTGAGACAAATTCTTTTTTGGAAGAAATGGTTTCACTAATATTTTGATGACCATTTTTTTATTTTAATTTAAATATTAAAAATAAAATAATAATAATAATAACTATTAAAAAATAATAAAAATAAATTTTTTTTTAACTTATTGATTTTTTAAATTATTATTCAAATTTTTAATATTGGATATTGGACTTACTAAATTACTAAATAAATAATATTAAAATAATTTTTGCAACATCGTAAACGACGTAGTAAACGACACCGTAAACGACGTAGTAAACGACATCGTAAACGACGTAGTAAACGACATCGTAAACGACGTAGTAAACGACGTCATTTACTATCCCAATTTCCGCTTTCATTTACGACGTCGTTTACTATGTCGTTTTCTACGTCGTTTACTACGTCACAAACTACTTAGAATACGACGTCGTAAACGAGGTCGGAATTTTCAACAGGGATTAGTAAATGAAACTTTTATAACTAGGCGAAAATGTAATTTCAATACTGACCCATTTTTTTAAGGTTGTCAATTTTTTTTTTTTTGACAATATTGAGTATTTAAAACTGTAATATAATTTTTAAAAAATTCAATTTTTTCAAAAAATAAAAATTTCTGAAAAATAAAAAAAAACTTGTAAAATTGTTAAAAATTATTTTTTTTCATTTTTCATAGTGAAATACCTATGATTTCCGGTTCTAAAAAAATTTTAAAAAAAATTGTTATTCCTAAACAAAACCAATTATGTTTGGTTTAAATTTTATTATTTATTCCTTATAAAAATTCAACTTCTATCACAGTTTTTATTATTTTTTATCGGCAATTGTTTTAAAATTTTTTAACAAAATTTTTTTAACCTTTAAACTGATACGTGCCGAAAAATCACACTAACTGATTTCACCGGTCTGTCAGACCGCTATTCCTTTTTTATGTTATTTTATTGATTTTAAATTTTGTAAAGTCAATTGTTGTATATGTATATTTTTTATTTTTTATGATTAAAAAGTCAATTTCTATATTGTTTCGTTTTAATTTTTTTATTTTTACATAATTTAGAACGCTGTTCTTATTGTACTTTAAAAAAAAGTTATAAGCGATGAAAGTTTTAATAGCGGTCTGTCAGACCGCTAAATCAGTTTAAAGGTTAATTTAATTTTAAAATTATCAAAAAAAATTTTTTTTTTAATTTTGATAATTTACAATAATTTTAGATCTCAAATAATGCCAGAAAAAATATTGACACTTAAATTAAATTAATTTTTTTCTAAAATCAAATCATTATTTTTTTATAATTATATAAAAATATATATTATACATATAATTAATAATTATGAGCTTCCAGAAAAAGTTACAAGATTCGAAAGAAATTTCTATTTTTGATAGAAAATGATACAATTTTCAATATTGGATTTTAATATAAATTTTATTATTTGTATAATTATAAATTTGATAAAATTCAATACTTTTTTTAAGCAGAGTATGTCTCCTGAAAACTGGCAATTTGTCATACATACTCCGGATTCTATAATGTCGATAAAGAAGAAATTATCTTTATTGGTAATGTTACGTTGTATTTGCATCAGTATCAGTGTGTATGTGTGTATCTTGACAACCACGTGAAAATATTAACCTACAAAATGGGCCTAAAAGAAAAACGTGAAAAATTAAAGAATTCAGAAACTGATGATTTAATATTAAAAAAGAAAGGAGGAGGAAGTATAATAGACCATAGACCACTATTTTCCAATGATGGAGAGTAAGTCAATTTTAAATTTTGCGAATTTAATTTTTTCTAACCTATAAATTTTGCTAATGTAATATTTTTGTAAACATTTTTTTCCCAAATATTGTAATAGTTTGGTACTTTTAAAAATCTTTTAAATAATGTTTACTTATATAGAAAAACTACTCTTGTTATTTTGTTATAAATCACATATTTTTAATGTGAAAATTTAAGAAATTAGAATTGCATGTTTTCAATTTAAGAACTAATTTTTATTATAATTACACTGAATCTTTGGAATTATGATTATATTATAATAACTATTGCTTTATTTAGCAGTAAGGAAATAGATAAAACCAGTGCTGCAATTATATAAATCGTCTTGATTTAAATCAAAGGATCATTTAAATTTAAATTACGTTATAATTCAAAGATTCTTTAAATCTTTATGTTAAAACTATTATAATCAGTTAAATTTAAAAACTTATCGATTGATTATTTGCAAAATTTTACTATAAATTATTAAAAATTTATTTCACGTTTTAAAAAAATCAAAAATATTTATTTTCGGATAATTTTTGTTCAAAATTTTTATATAAGTTATTCTAAAAAAAAATTTTATACTTCAAACTTTATTACAGAATAAAAAAAATCAATAATTTAAAAAAAAAAAGAATTTTAGAATTTTTTTAAAAAACGAACTAATTAAAAAAAATGTTTATTTTATTTTTAAATCAAAATTTTTATCGGCCTTGGATAAATTGAAGTCTGCTTCGACAATTAAATAAATAATTTTTATATTCACATAATTATTTTTACAGAATTCTATTTATTATATGGAAACAAACAATTAGAGCTTACAGTGCTCAAACCGGAGATTTTGTCAGAGAATTTGAACAAGCTGAAGGCAGGATAATTGGAATTGCTTTACATCCAAATTTTTCTAATACAGTCATTGGTTGTATTAATACAGGACAATTAATTTTCTGGGATTGTCACAGTGGTCTTATCACTTCAAATTTGGTAGGAATAAATTTTTACATTATTAAAAAAAAAAAAAATTCTCGATTTAAATTAAACCAGGGTGTTTAATGGTCAGAGAAGTCAGGGAATTTCTTTAATTTTCTGAAATATTTTATGAATAAATTAAAGTAACTATAAGTTTCAAAAAAAATTTTACTTTTCCCCAAAGTAAATGCAAATTAAAAAGTTTGCCATCATACTCAATTATTAAGCATGTGATATGTTTTATATTCATTAAGTAAATAATTATTTACTATTATTTATTGAATCTAATAAATGATTTTTTAAACTTGGATAACAATTAATTAATTTTTTTCAGTTAAATATTTGGTTTTTTAATATAAATAAAAATTATTTGAATACAATTTCATTTTATCAGTTCAACTTGAAATAAAGTAAATTATTCACTAATACGAATAATTTATTACGTAATGCTAATACCCACATTTAACTTATAAACATTTTTACGGCGTCGAAACTTAAATTATCGAATTTCTATTTAGCAAAATTGTATAAAATGGATTTTATATTATGCAAAATTTTCAATTTACATTTAACTAAAATACGATTTAAAAGAATTTCTATTTAGCAGAACTCTTATAAAGCATTTTTTCTAATACTTTTGAAAATTTTTTAATTAATATAATTTCATTTTAACAAAAATGTCTATAAAAAAATTGAGAAAAAAAGAACTAAGTAGAATTTTTCATAAATGAGAATTCTGTTAAATAAGAATTAGTTCGAATTAAAATTTTCTTTAATAAAAACTTTGTTTATTTAAAAATTTTGTTAAATAGAAATTCTGTTAATTGTGGATTTATTCAATGACAATTCTGTTAAGTAAATATTTTGATAAATCGAAATTTACTAAAATAACAATTCTGTTAAAATAAATTTTCCTTGTGCAATTGTTCTTGACATAAATTCGGTTAAATCGAAATTTTATTAATTTGAAATTCGATGTACTAGAATATCTGCTTTATATAATTTTACTAAATAAAAATTTGATAAATTAAGATTCGACGCCGTAAATATTCTTTTAAATTAAATGTTGAGAAAATTTATACGTCCCCAATTAGTTTATTTATTTCACTTAAATATTTTATTTTTTATGAAACATTATTTATTTGATTTAAATACATACGAAATTAGTAGATAATAGACAGGTAAATGATTTAATTGTATCAAAATAAATTTTATTTGATCAAAATAAAATTTTTTTAGTGTAATTTAGGTCAGAGAAAAGTTGGAATTTTTTTCCTAGCAGTTGTTAGACACCCTGGAAACACTAATTCACTGTTTTTAACTCTTCCTATAATTGAGAAAAAAATTTATTTACAATATAATAAAAAAAGATGAATATAACATTTTTATTTTCATTAAAATAAAATAAATTTAAATTATTAAAATATTTTTATCTAATTTTTGACTTATTAGAAACTGGAGTTAAATTCTTCATCAGAATTGAAAATAAAGTATTTTCATATTTTAAAATACAAAAATGAGAAAGGAAAACCAGTTCAACATGTTCTTATAAGTTACACGCTTAACAATCCAGATCTTATTTGTTTATCTGTCTATAATTTAAAAGGCAAAACATGCATCATGTCCAAAACATTAACGTGAGTTTTTGTTATTATAAGTTTTTTTTTCGTATTCTATTATCATTATTGAAATTTTAATTATTAAATTATATTAAATATTTAAGGCAAGAAAGCAATGTTTATTACATTGACATTATTGGAAATTATGGAGACAATTTAATTGCTGTTGGACAACAAAATACAGTTTTTATTTTAGATCCTGCTCACAATTTATCTTTAAAAGTGTAAGTTTTTATATTATTTTTTATGATTAAAAAAAAAAATGTTTTATTTATCATTATACAGGTCTCAGATTATACGACTTTTTCTGACTGTTTTTTTCGAAAATACCACTTTTTTCGACTTATTTAAATAAGGTGCGACTTTTTAGACTTTTTTTTAATAATTTTTTTTTACAAAATTTTTAAACAAAATACGTCTTTTTTTAGTATACAATGCAGATCTTCTTTAGATCTTTTTTATTTCAATTTTTTAACAAATTTTTAACTAAAATTTTTTTCTAAATTAATTATTTTTAATTATTTGAATGAAATTCTTTACAAATTCAATTATCTTAAATTATTTTTTCATTAAAATTTTTATAAAATTCAACAATTATTTATAATTTAAAAAACAGAATCAAATAAAATTACCAAAAATTTCAATTTAAAACCTTTTAAAATTTTCCATATAAAACTTTTTGAAATTTAATAATTCCAATTATAACTTTTTCGAAATTCAATGATTTTTAATATAATATTCTTTGAACATTCAATTATTTGAAAGCATTTTTCAATTAAAAAATTTTGAAGTTCAATTTTTGCCTTTAATTTTTAATAAATTTATCAGCAACAGAAATCACCAAAAAATTTCAATAAAAAATCATTTGAATTGAATTATTTTCAAAAATTTCAATTTAAAACCTTCTAAATTTTAATTATTTCTAAAAATGTCAACTATAAATCTTCCAAAATTTAATGATTTTAAATGATTTAGTTCGATTCTGAAATAGAAATAAATTTTCTTGATAATAATGCTATAGAATTATTCTTATTAAGGAATTAATAAAATGGATTTAATATCTAATAACGTTAGTTATTTAAAGTCAAATATTTATATTAACTAATTAAATTTAATGAAAATAAAAAAATCGACTTTTTGAACTTTTTTTGGATTGTAAATCGACTAAAACAACTTTTTTTATATGCCTTAAAGTCAATCCGAGGCCTGATTATATTTATTCTAAAATCAATGCGTCCTGTTTTTAGAAAAATCTTATAATTCGTAATAATCATTTTTGTTATCCGTACAGTTTGTTTTTGAAAATTATTTAATGATATTTTATACATTTACTTTGGAATTCAAAAAATCAGTTGCACTGAAAAAAAGTTAATTCGACATATGTAAAAATTAATTATAAAAGCACAAAAATAATATAGACATTTTAATAATTGACATTTTTTGATAATTGTTGAAAATAATCTATTTTACATTATTGTATAAAAAGACCTAAATATTAAGTGAAAATTAATTTTTAAACTTTTGTCTCTAAAATTTCAAAATTTAACACATTCCAATTAAATTTTTCAATTACAAAAAAAAAATTTTCTATAAAACTAGAAAATAAATTTTTATTAAATATAGATTAATATAAAATACCTTTAATGTACTTTCATATGATATGCTGTCTTTTTAATTTTATTTTATAGAAATATAAAAAATTTTAGTCTTTCATGTTGAGGATTTGAGAATTTTTGCTGTTTTCGAACTCCTTTCCAGAATAATGAAAACATTTAAACTTTGTTTTAATATTTAAATTAAATCTTCATTTTTTTTGTCCTATCAAATTTTGGCGTTGGGGAACGATCTGCTTTTTATGTTTATTGCATTTTTAAAATCTGATTAAAAAAAAAAAAATTTTAACTTAAAACACAAGAAGTTTTTTAAAACTGAATTAAATTTTACAACGGTCAAAATTAACCTTTTTTCCGTTCAACTCATCTTTAAATTCAAATTCCAAGGTAAATATATAAAATATTAAATAATTTAAAAAAATGAATTGTATGGACAACAAAAATGTTCTTTTTAATAAATTTTGGCTACAACAAATATATTAATTCGTATAATGAAATTTTTGTTTTATTCTTTTTGAACAGTACTAAAATAAATAGAATAATTACCTGCATTGCTGGACATCCAGATGATCAATGCGTTGCAGTTGGAGATTCAAGTGGTCGAGTTGTTTTAATGAAAAATTTATATCAAAAGCCAACTGAATCCTCCTATCATTGGCACACTCTGCCAGTTATTATAATAGCTTTCAGTAAATCAGGTAAATACATTTTTTAAAAAAGCTATTGCATTATTAATATAATATAATATAATATAATATAATATAATATAATATAATATAATATAATATAATATAATATAATATAATATAATATAATACAATAATACCTGGAAAAGTCAGGGAATTTTATAAATCTGGGAAAATCCTGCAAAAGTCATGGAATTCTCCTTCAAATTCTAAAAAACAACAAATTTTTAATATTTATTGTCCAAGACAAAAGTTAAAAGTTTGTTGATTGGCTTAATATTTGCAAGCAACAAATCACTAAATTATTAACTAATTTAAAGAAAAAAAAAAAATTAGAAAGTATCTAAATTTTAATTTTCAAACAGGGGTTTTGGAATAATTTTTCATACGTACTTTTCAATACAAAAAAAAATTGCAAACCTCCTTCTTTTAAAAATAAAGTCTTATTTTTCAGTTTTATCTCAATTGAGAATTTTGTTTGTTTCTTTTTATTTTCATTGTAAAGCCAAGAATTTTTGCGATGAAATGATATAAGAAATTTTAAATAATTTAAAAATCCATTTTTTTATATCGACAAATTTAAACAAATTGCATTTCTCATATAATCACTGAAGTTAATTTTAATGAAGAAAAATTGTAATAAATTATTTATAAAAAAATGAATTTTGTATTTTAGCCATTTTTTTTTAAATTAAAGTCTATCATAATTGGAGAATTTTAAGGTTTTGGTAATTTTTTCTAGCAAAAAGAATTAAAATTATAAATCATCTTGATTAAGGCCAGATGTTTTTAAATTAAAATTTCCCTGATGATTAAATTTTTTCGAAAATCTCTTGTTATTCCACTTTTATATTTTAATAAACAGCTTATTAGAAAAAAATCTCTGTTTTTTAGTAAAAATTTAAAAAAGAATATTAAAAAATTTACTCAAATTAGTGAAACTGTAAAATAAGAATTAATTTTGATTAAAAATAGTGAAATTTGTAATAATTTTGTGGTGACTACAATTTTTTTTTAAAGAATTAATATTTTAGTATTATTTATAAATTTTAATTGTTTTTAATTAGTTACAAACTTTTTGTTCTTTCTTTATTTATTATTTTCTCCATTGTGTACTTTTACAAAATTTTACAATTTTCTTTTTCGCAAAGTTAAAAAAATAAAACTAATTGCGAATAAAAGGTAAATGAGTGAAAATAATTGTTTTATTACTTATTTAGTAAAATTTAACTAATTCTTTTGTGACTTCACAAAAAGTCTCTCATTGAAAGTTGTTAAAATTTTAATTAATTCAAATTTAGAGAACAAAAATATTATTTTAGAAACAAAATCCTTTTATTCGATAGCTGAATGAAAAATATTAAGTAATGATTACTTGAAATAAACAATATACTATTTTATATTCGGAAAAATCTTAAAAAAAGTCAGGGAACTCAAAGGTAACAAAAGCATGTCAACCCTATTATTAATTAAAATTTTATAAAAATATTGATTTTGTTTACTTCAAGTGTGAAGAATTTTCTGTTTTATAATTTCATTTTATGTTTATAATTTTTTTAACAGGTGGTCACATGTATACAGGAGGTGGAGAATGTGTTTTGGTAAAATGGACACTTTCAAATACACAAAATAAAGCTTTTTTGCCTAGATTACCAGCGCCAATAAAACATATTACAATTGCTCCGGAAAATATTTACATAGCTATTTCTACTTTAGACAATGGTAAATATATATTTTTTTTTCTTTAATTTTTCATGATTATTTAATAATATTATTAAAAATTACTAATTCATTAAATAATCCATTAGGAATTTCGGTTGTTAATCCACAATTAAAACTTACATCTGTAATACAAAAGTTTACCTGGGGTGTTATGAGTTCATCTAAAAATTTATTTACCGCTGGTCTTATTGTTGATCCTCGTACTGGAAGTCTTGTTTTAAATAGTCGCACTGGTTTCGTTCAATTTTATGATATTCATACAAAAAATCTTTTGTATAACGTAAGTTTTATATTAACAATAATAAATTTCATTAAAATTTTCAATTTTTTACGATAATTTTGAAAATTTTAATTTTTTAACTATTTTCTTTTTTTGTAGAAAATATTTTACTTTAATAAATAAATTCATTGATTTATATAAATTATATATACTCAATATAAATTTATAGAAATTATCGTGATTTTTCGTTTTTGAATAAATTGAAATTTTTTTTTTCATAAATTTGCAAATTCAAATTAGTTGATAGTTTCTCTTTTGGAAAAAATTTACATTCAGAAACGAATAAAATAATAATTTATATGAAATATATATTTTACTAGAAATTTTTATAATGACAATTTTTTATTCTTTAAGAAATTCATATTTTCTTTTCCTGTATTAACTTTATTATTATTAATATTAATAAAAGTCAATAATTTGAAACGATTTTAATGATTTTTAATGAAATGATGTATTCTTTATTAGAAAAATAACTTTTTCCTTATGAAGAAACAAAAATTATTATGATATGAATATAATCATCTAGTTATGAAAATCGTGTTAAATTTTATTTTCAAATTTTTAATGGACAATAGAAAATTTAATTTTAATAATTATAGGTTAATATAACGTCACAAAATTTATTATCCCAAGAAAGAAGTGCAGTGATTGTAAACACTGAAGTAACAAAAATTGCCTTAAATTATGACGGAACATGGATGGCAACAGTAGAACAACGTGAGGATGATGTTTCTTATACGGAAGTTAGGCTGAAATTTTGGAACTTTGATGCAAAAAATCAAGTGTAATTATTTCTTTTTTTTTATAGAAATAATCTTCGCTTATTTTATTTTTTTATCTGTTATTATTTTTTTATAGTTTTGTACTAAATACATCGGTAGAATTTCCACATGAGAATGGAGTTAATGCACTGAAATTTCAACCAAATACCTCGTTAAATGGATATGATCATTTTGTTGTGACTTCTGGAAAAGATAACAAATTTAAATTATGGAATCTTGTTGATCCAGAATCTACATACAGTAAGTTAAAAAAAAATAAGTCATAATTTTTTTTACTAAATGAGTCCGACCAATATATTATTTAATTTATTTAATGGAAATATTAAGTTGCAAATTTTGCAAAAATACAAAAATTGCGTGCGTTGAATTTAATATTTCTTTGTATATTTAAATTAAAAATGAAAAAATTGTCAAGAAATTTTAAAAGTTCTTTTCATTTACTTCCTTATTTCGTAAGTGGAAATTTATTTTAAGTACATCATTTTTTTAAACAAATAATTAATGAAAATTTAAAAATTATTTGACAAACGAACTTTAAACATTAAACAAAATAATTTAAAAATAATTTTTAAAAGTTCATAAAATATATTCGATATAAGTAAAATAAAAATAATTATTAATGTATTTATTTCAGAACAAACGAAATTCTGGCAATTTTATAGCGTTGGATTTTATCGTCAACTACCATCGACTGATGCTGCTTTTTCCATCGATGGATCAATATTGGGTGTTGGTTTTGGTTCGAGTTTGACATTATGGGCTCCCGAGTCTATGAAATTAAAAGCTACTCTTTCTCATATTCTTTATCCACAAACAATAACGTAAGAATTGAAAAAAAATTTCTATTTTCAATTTTTTTTTGTCTAAATTTTTAATTGCATAAATAATTATTATTTGAATGAGGATTTAATTAAACAAGATGATTACAGTATAATGATAATTTTATTAATTATTGTAAATTACAGACATGTTGAATTTGGTAAACAAGAATTGTGCCATTTAATTGTGACTGGATCAGCGGAACATATTGCTGTTTGGGATATTTTAACGCTTCGCGTTAAGTGGAGCGTTCCTTTAAAATTATCTACAATAACTGCAGATCCTTATACTACTTATTTTGCTGCTTTTACAAAAGAAAATACATGTGAGTATTTAAAAATTATAATTTAATAATTAACTACAAAAAAAAATACAATTCGATTATTTTACTAATAAATTATATTTCAAATTAACTGATCTAAATAATGAGTTACAAAAAAATATAACACTTTTAAAATTCACATATAAAATATTCAAATTTGAAAATTATTTTCTGAAAATAATTTTTGTAACTTAATAAATAGTTAATTTTAATAATTGATTTTTATAAATTTCATTTAATATTTTCCATTGACTTTTCTTTTTTTAGTATTTGTATTCACACCAGAAAATCCAAATTACATTTATAAAAAATTGAATGTAATTGAAAATGACAGTTCAATATTAGGAACAACTTTTATTCCCCTCAGTCGTGAAAGGAAGACATCGAAATTGAATCAGTGGCAGAGAAAATCGCAATTGTTTTTCTTGGATTCTAATCAAGTATATTTTTCATATTTTATTCTAAATTAAAATTTAATTTATTTTTCTAATAAATAAATTATTATTTAAAATTGTTATTATTATTTTAATAAATAATAATTTATTTATTAAATTGTAAATGTAATTAAAATTTTATTTAATTCCTTAAATTTTATAATAAGTTTTTTTTTTTTTTTTAATAGACTAAAATATTAAAATTTATAAACTAAACAGTTTTGTTATTCATTATTTGGTAACATTAAAAAAAAAAAAAAAAGTTTTCTAACAACTAACAATCTCTTTACAGGAACTTTTAACTTTAGAATCGCAATCGGAATCTGAAGTTTCTTTAGAAACTTTAACTTTAAATAAAAATCTACCAGCAACGGCGTTTGCTCGAATTTTGGCAGCAGAAAATCCATCGAGTAGAGAAAAAACTTTTTCATTTGTTCATGAAAATCCTGGTTACTCGGAAAGAACTTTTGGTGAAGAAGTAAGTTTACAAAAAAAATTTTTTAAGTATTCACATTAAGTATAATATTTTAAAGTAGGTATTAATTTTTTTTTTTTTTTAATGATAATACTGTCTTTCGGTATTTTACATTGAACTACAATATCTAGGGATTTAATCTATTCAGGATCATTTTTAATTGTATATGTCAAAATACTTTAAAATGGATTTAATTTTCTCTCTCTCGCAAAATAATTTCATTTTACCGAATGATAAATTCATTTTTATCAAATCTCTTAAATTTCGTTTTTAATTTTCCATCTTTAAACTAATATTCTACTTATTAAATAAATACTATATCAGTTTTGATTCTAAATGCAAGAAATTGAGTTGATTTTTAAAGAAATATTAGTCTTGTTTGAAGTTTTGAAATTTTTCCCAAAAAGTAACGAGTTAAATTTCTTTTTCAAAATGTACGATGAAAAGTATTTTTGTACAGTGTTGATTGTTGTTGTTGTTGTTGTTGTTGTTGTTGTTGTTGTTGTTGTTGTTGACGTAGCGTGAAATAAGGATTAATGTGTTGATTTGGTAAATGATAATACTTTGTTTGTCAGTGCTTTCTTGCTAAACGATAATTTCTGCATCGGCGAACCAAGTCAAATTTTCTGTAACGGAGACAGTGCCATTGAGGAATTTGCCTCATGTTCTCGAGTGCCTGCAACATAAATGCAAATTGAATTTAAATCGGTCATTGACACTTGCATTTAAACTTTTTATTTTAAATGATATCTTCAATATATTATTTAATACAATTATTAAGAAGGATGTTGACCGTAACATAACGGTGTGTATGATTATTCCATAAAATTTATTAATGCGAATTTTTATTTTAAAATAGATATTTTATTAGAAATAATTATTTTTTGTATGAATTTACAATTTTCGAATTAAAATTTAACAGATTTTCTTTTTATACGAATTTTTTTCATAACAAAATTTTTAGCTACTGAATTTTTGTTTATCATAATTTTTTATTTTACAGTCATTTTCAATCGATTTTATGTGATTCGAATTTTTAAATGACAGAAATTCCAATTCACCGAATTTTAATTTGTCTGAATTTTTATTTGTATCTAAAAATTTTTAATTGATAGAATTTTTAAGACGCCGAATTTTCATTTGTCAGAAATTACTAATGAGAAAACAAATAATTGACTGAAAGATTTCGGCGCAATTTTTAAAAATTGACCTATCACGGTTTTCTTGATAATTTCTAATTGGTTAATTTTAAAAAATTGTCGACGAAATCTTTCTGTCAATTATTTGTTCTATCATTTGTAATTTAGGACAAATGAAAATTCGGCGTCTTAAAAATTCTATCAATTAAAAATTTGTACAAATAAAAATTCGGACAATTTAAAATTCTGTGAATTAGAATTTCAGTTATTAAAAATTCTGTTTAATTCGCTTAAATAAACATTTTTTTATATAAAAAGTCATGTAAAAAAATGACTGTAAAATAAAAATTCTGCCAAACAAAAATTTAGTAGCTTACAATTTTGTTATGTAAAAATTCGTATAAAAAAAAAAATTCTGTCACATGCTAATTAGAAAAATGAAAATTCGTCTAAAAAATAATTCTTTCTAATAAAATTCTTAAATTGAAAATTTTATTTAATGATTTTTATGGGATAATCATGCGCTCCAACATAATTTAGGTAGGTTGTCACTTTTTTTAAAAAATATTTTCTAATCCATTTTTCCTAAAAAAAAGTCTGTTCTATTAAAATTGTTTTTCTGAAAAAAAATTTTCTAATTTTTTATTTCTAAAATACAGTTTTTTAATTTTAAAAAATTATAAATTTTTAAATATTTTATAATATATGCTCGATTTTTAAAAGATAATTTTGACTGATTTTGACTACCTAATTCTAGATTGAATACGAAAAAAATTGATAAGACATCTTCAAAGTTGTTTGCGAATGACCAAAAACGATTTAAAATAATTTCAAATTGAACTTTCTTAAAAATTTTAATTCATTGGTAGAAATTCAAATTTATTGGAAAACAAAATTTTAGAAATTGAACTTTATTAGAAAATGAATTTTTGTGAATTTGAACTTTGTTAGAAACAAAAATTAAAAAAAAAAAAATTAGAAAATATTTTTTTAAAAAAAGTGTATCTCAATACCTTAAATTAAAAAATAATTTTTAACGTAAATGCAAAAATTAAAATTAATTTCTATTAATTTTGGAAGAACTAGTTATACACATTTAAAAAATTAAAAGGATATTGAGTTAAAATCTTTCGTCAAGAAATAATTTTTTTACATTTTGATTTTTTTTACCTCACAGGCAAAAATCGCCGCAATTTTATCCAATTTTTATGAATAATAGTTTAATTTACTCATTAAATAATTTTCTTCAATTGTATTATTTTTTTATTTTTTTTCGAATTTTTCAATGTTAGAAAATTATTTAATAAAATAAATTAGGTAAATATAAATAATTAATTAATTAAGTTATTGTTTATAAAAATTGGATAAAAATTTCGATTTTTCTCAAAGAGTTAAAAGAAAAAAAATCAAAATGTAAAAAAAAAAAATGTAATCCAAACTTCAATTCTTTCCACTGAATAATTAATAGTTATACGTTGAAAAAAATAATTGAAGGGTAGAATGACAAAAGGGGTCAAGCGCCAATTTATCGAAAATGAGGTTTTTGCATAAAAAAATCAAGAAAATTCATTTACACATTTCTGTAGAAGGATTTTCTTTTTTATTGCGTATTTAAATCAGTTTTTAATAAAAATTAAATTAATAAAATAGCCTCAAATTTACTTTATTGCAACCTGATTGAAAAACAAAAGAAAGTGGTGTTCAATTTTGATGAAAAATATTATTTTTTTAGGTTTTATTTTAACATTTTTTTTTAATTTTATTTTAATTTTATTTTAATTAATAAAATTAATAATAAAAATAATGTATTTTCAATCTTAAACAATTTTAAAATCATTTTGTTATTAATTTTTAAATATTTTTATGATTATACTAAGTGAACAATTGAATTTAAAGATGAAAGTATTGCTCAATTCCAAAGCAAGCAATTAATTCGTAATTTTCTTGAAAACAAACAATTTTTTAAAGGAATTTTTTTTTCTATTCATTTCGTCGATTCCATAGAAAGAAACTAATTTTTCAGTTTTTCTTTAAACTGTATATTTTTTTTATAATTAATGCTTAAAGAAAATGTGCGCAGTTGATATAACCTCAAGGAACCACAGTTTTTTTTAATTTTATCGTTAATATGTAGGTTTATTTCAACAAATTGTTGTTTATTTATTAAAACATACTAATATATCGAAATGGTTTTCTCAGTTTTTTTTTAAATGACCTGCAAAATTTTTAAAAATGTTTTTTTTACTTCCTGTAAAAACAGTGAATTGGCGCTTGACCCCTTTTGTCATTCTACCCTTCAATTATTTGACGCAAAATTTGGACTCAACATGATTTTTTCTGAAGAGTGTGTATAACTATATCTTTTGCAAAATTTTTTTTAATTAAAATACTATTTTAATTTGAAAATTTCTAAAACTAATAACCATTCAATATTAAATTTCTGAAAAATAGTTTCTTTTTTTTTTTTTTTGTTTTGTATCAATGACATAAAATCATTAATATATAAGAAGCGTTGATATAAAAAGTCAATGTTCACATAAAATTTAAATCTTGAACTTTCATTTCATTCATTCTTGACTGCTAAAATTCATGCAAGAGTTAAGTGATCAATGACAATTTCTGCACAAGAGTTCATTGACATTATTCAATGTAAGATGGATATGAAAATATGCAAATTTACCATTTTACAGAGAAATTTAAATTATTTTCATGCACTGATGATGTTTATTATTATTATTATTTCTATTATTAATATTATTATTATTATTATTATTATTATTTATATAAATTTGTTTAGAAGTGAGCTTTGCTTTGCTCTATTCATTAAAATATGAGCATCATAAGAGAATTTAACACAATGCTTTCAAGACTAGGCGTAGTTCCGCTGTAGAAACGAATAACACTGGAGCTTGCTTTGGTAGTAGAAATAATATTATAAAACGAATGACCCAGTTTGTCGAAGTTAGGTCCGCGTTTCATACTGTGGCTAAGATGTATCATCGTAGATATATATATATATATATATACGTGTTTCCTTATGATGATGATAATAATATTGTTGTTATACGACATGCGGATATTACTTCAGTCATTCAAGACTTTAACGAATTTAATAGAAATTTCTTTATTATGACAAAGACTTACTTCAATTAATTTTTGTGTTGTCCAAAGCCTTTTTTCTTGATTAATATCTACCTATTAATATTTTAATTTTTCTTTTAAATTTTTCTATATTATATATATAGATAATAATTATCAATAGATGAAACATCTATTGATTTGTAATAAAAATATAATTTTTATTTTTTCATAAAAGAATTTTCCAAAAATAATTTATTTTAAATTATATTTCAAATTTTTCAAATTTTCGTTTTTCTGACAAGTTGATTCATATAATTTGGGAACTAATTTGAGAAATGAGATTTAATAAGATTAGAAATATTTTGTTAATAAAGGAATATTTAAAAAAAAAACGCAAAATGTTAGGCAAATCATTTTTTTTTATTGTGTAACTAATTTGAAAAATGAAATGATTTAATAAAATTTGTTAATTATTTTGTAAATAAAAAAATATTTTTTGAAAAAAAAGTAGTTAAATTTTGATTGTAGTTGAATTAATCGAACACTAAATATAATGCGTTAAAAAAAATTCTTTTTGGAAAAATTTGTATTCTTTTATAATTTCATGGATTTAGAGAAAAATAAATTTTTTGGAAAAAATTATTTTTAAAAAAGACAAAAATTTTCACTCAGGTTACAAATATTTAAAAACTTACCGCATCTGAGTCACCTGAGGGGAATCCCTCAGTTGCATAGGCAAGGAAGCTGAGAATTATGAAACACACTGCAACTCTCAAACTGAATAATCTCATTTTAAGAAACTGGTTTTTTCTAAATTAAACTAGAAATTTTTCTTCTTTTTTAGAATTTTCTTTTTCTTTTTATTTTTTTTTTAGTGTTATAGATATTGAAGTAAAAGTATTTAACCAAAAGGGAAAATGAGACTTTTTTTAAAAATTACCCTTTAGTTTTAAGAATTTTCTACTATCGTATTATTTAATGAATAAATTATTATTTGGAGGATTTGATCTTACACTCATAAATAAATGCTTCAACGTTTGTTGAAGGACTGCATTTGAGGAGTCACGCTATGAACTAATATACTGAATAACGACCACGCTCCCACCCCCGTATTTCCCTTGAATTCCTTTCAGGATATTAAAATGTTCTTTATTGTAATTATTTATACAAAACATCTGGTTATAAACAAAAAATTTTTGATTTTTAACTAAATTTCCTTTTTTTTCTTTACTTGCTAATAATTTAATAATTGAAATTATATAATAATAAAATGCTTGGTCTGTCCTTCTGTCTTAACTTGAAGTTGGCCTTTTCTGATTTCACGTGTATTTTTGAATAGTAATCTTATGACGTGTCAAATTTTGACAATTCTTTTTCTCATTTTTGCCAAAGTGTTTCCAAATTTCGGAATAAGTTTCTTTAAAATTCCAAATTCAAAAATTCAATTCATGAAGCTGAAGTACACAACGTTTACCAACAAAATTTTTTTTAAACTTGTATATTGATTCAAAAATTGTATACAAATACCAAAAATTTATTATGAGAAAAAAGATGCGCCAGGAAATTTCGTACAAGATAGTAATTTGAAAAAAATTTATTTTTAAAAATTAATTTTTAAGGTACCAGGGGCCAACGAATACCTATTAAATATTAATTATAAAAACACAGGCCTCGAATCAACTTAAAGACACAAAAAGTCGTTTTAGTCGATTTATATTCCAAAAAAAAGTGGATTTGTTTTTTATTTTAACAAAAATATTTTACAGTTTTTTAAATAAAAATTTTTTTTTAATAATAATCCTTTTCGAAGGGTTAAAGTTGAAATTTTTAGAAATAATTAAATTTCAAAAGATATTGTTAATTTTCAAACAATTATTAAATTTTAGAAAACTAAAAATAATTTATCAAACAATTTTTGGAAAGTATTTTTTAAATTTAATTGAATTTTTAAAGATTTAAAATTGAGATTTTTGAAATTAATTGAAACTTTAAGTGTTTTGTAGTTAAAATTTTAGATGATTTCACTAAAAATTTATTTGAAGATGCGGACAAAATACAATAATTTGAAAATCATTTTTAATTAAAAAATAGTTTCAGATAGTTGAAATTTCAAAGAATATTATTAAAATATTTAAAAATAATTGAATTTCCTTAGAGTTATAATTGAAATTATTAAATTTCAAAAAAAAAAATTTTCGATGGAAAATTTTAGAAATAATTAAATTTTAGATGCTTTTAAATTCAAATTATTGAAAATTCAATTAATTTTGAATTCAAATTTTTGAGAATAATTAAATTTTATTTGATTTTAAATTTGGAAAATAATTGAATTTTAGTTCATTTTGAATTGAAAATTTTGAGAAATAATTGAATTTGAATTGAAGTTTTGGATAATAATTTAATTTAAGTTCATTTTGGATTGAAAATTTGGATAATTAATTTTGAATAGAAATTTTAGAAAATAATTGAATTTTATTTCATTTTAAATTGAAAACTTGGTAAATAATTAAATTTTAAATTGAAAATTTTGGATAATTATTGGATTTTTAATTGATTTTGAATTAAAATTTCGGGTAATAATTGAATTTTAGTTTATTTTGAATTGAAATTTTAAAAAAATAATTCAATTTTATTGTGATATTTTTTTTTTTAATTATAAACAATTGGTAAATTTCATAAAATTTTTTATTGAAAAATAATTTTGATATAATTGAATTTGTGATGTATTTCATTAAAATTATTAAAAATAATGAATTTAGTGAAGAATCATTTTAGTTCAAAATTTGTTAAATAATTGAATTGAAGAAGATCTGAAGAAGATCTACATTTTATACTAAAAAAAAAGCTTAAAAATGTAACAAAGAAAAAGGTTTTCTTATTTTGAATTTAAAAAAGGAGTTTAATAAACAATTTTTGATTTTCAGTTCTTTGGGGACGTTCCTTGTCATACTTTACCACCACTAAGGATGACATATGAAACTTTTTTCCTTCGGGCTGCTCAAGTTGCAATTAAATCAGAAGATGAAAATTTATCTTGGTAAATAAAAATTTGAATATTATTTTTATTATAATTAATAAATGTAATTATATTATTTTATTTTATAAATAGTAAAAAAAATATATAAAATATATAAATAAATATGAAATTATTTTACAGTCAAAATGAAATGGACGATGTTAAAGAAAATGAAGCTGATGATACCGATGAAGAAGAAGAGCCGTTATTAATAAATAAAACAGAATCTTTAAAGTTTTGCAAAGAAGAAACAAATGAAAAGATGATTGTCGAGGAGAATTTACATTTAATTAGTCAAGATTGGTCTGTTTTATCTCATATAGTTCCCAGTCGAGAAGATAGTTAATAAAATTATCAATGTGAATTTTTATAATTGAAATTTAACATTATTAAATTTTATTACGCCCAATAAGGTGTATAACTGACAGGAATTTCTATCAATGAAATATTTATTAATAATGTATTATAATAAATATTAATTTTTTTTTACACATTTTTTTGTCAACTCTCTCATCCAATTAAATCAATTTTTTTAAAATTCGATTAAATAAAAATTTTCAACTTTTGGTTTTTTCAATAAAATAAACATTCAAAAACATTGAAATATTCAATTGAATAAACATTAGAATTTTTTGATTTTTCAATGAAATAAGTATTTGAAATTTTGAAAATTTAATTAAATAAACATTCGAACATTTCGTGGCACATGAATAAGCTCTAAAATAAATTTGTTTGAATTTTCATTTCACAGAATTTTATTTCCTAGAATTTGAATTTTCACTTGACAAAATATCATTTCCTAAAATTTACTTTTTTTGACAAATTTTTACAGCCCAACCTCTTTATAAACTACCTCTTTACAAGCTTCAAGGTCAGTTGAGTTCTCGACAAGTTCCCCACTCTGAGCCGGCAAAAATACAATCAACATCCTCTTTATAAGTTCACGACAATTTTTGACGTTCGCGCAATGGGAAAGTGTATACAAATTTATTTTGATCATTCTGACCGTTTTTTTTTTAGTTGCCAAAATGATGCTACACACATTTCAGGCTAAAAATAGTTTAAGTATTTTATTTCAAAGTGTCATTTGAGCAGAAAAAGTCGGATTTAAATTGAAATTTTTTTTTTTCTTTAATTTCCTTTTATTAAAATGAAATGCAAACTTGTGAATATTACACAGAAGTTGAATGTGACAAATTTATGTTATTATTACACGTACTAATAATAATTGAAATTGATGTACTTTGCATTTCTCTTATAAATATATAAACCTTTTTCTTGTTCAGAATATAATGATTAATGTAAAATTTTATTTTAATTTACTAGATGAGAATTCATAGGCCAAACTTCATTTTTAATAAATAATTATTTATTACATTATATATTGTAATTTTGATAATAATCAACTCTATAATCATCCATTTACCCCTCAAAATGCATTTTTCCTTCATATTTAGTCGATTTATCAAGTCTTTTTTGAAGAAACTAAAAGATAACTGAAAGTTAACCGAATATAACTTAACCCAGCTCACGGTGCGCCAGAAGGTGGTTTAAATAAAAATGAATTGGCACTTAAAAATTCTTTTTGATTATGATTCTTAGATGAATAACAAACATTTCTCAATAGTTTTTAAAATCAGTTTACGTGCCCGATTTAAATAAAATTGAGTTTTTATATAAAAACAGTGTTTTATGGGAAATCAGAATTTATTTAATCTAATAAATACTGTAATAAATGATAAAATAATTACTTATTTTCAATTTTACATATAAATAATTATATTGCTGTAGTGTTTGTGTCCAATTTTAAAAAATTAAATTATAATGCTAAAAGAACGTTTTTAAAAGTGACAAAATTTATTTAAGAGAGTCGAATGGTCTCTGAAATTTTTTGGCAAGAAGAGACCTTTAATTATCGCTCTATAAAAACGGCACTAAACGTGAAAATGATAAACATTGATTTTAAAATACTTTCTTCTCGAAAGACGGACACTTTTTACAAAAGCAGCTAGAGATCCTTATCTTATATAAATTTCCTAAATCCGAAAGATTATGCGAATCCATACAAAAACACGATTGCAAAACGAAAAGTAATATAATGACAGGTTCATTACCTCCTGCCGCCGTCAGATGGCAGCAGCATGCAGGGCGCACAAAGTCGCAGCTGTTATTAGATTACTTTTCTACTTTTTGTTTTGCAACCATGTTTTTCTATGGATTCGTATAGTCTTTTGGATTTAGGAAATTTATAAGATGAGGATTTTGGCTGATTTTGTTAAAAGTGTTCGTGTTTCGAGAAAAAAGTATTTTAAAATAAATACTATTTCACGTTCAGAGCAATAATTAAAGCTCTTTTCTTGCCAAAGAATTTCAGATACCGTTCGACACTCTTAATGCATAAATATAAAAACGAAACAAGAAAATAAATTCATTGTTAATTTTATATGAACCCAAATCGGAAACATCTATTATCTATACGCATATAAGTATACATTAAATAAATTCTGGTTCCTCATAAAATACTATTTTTAAATATTTAAAACTCAATTTGTTTTAAATTGGGCACGTAAGCTGATTTTAAAACTATTTCGATAAATCAAAATCGCCAGGGTAGCGTTTTACCAAGCCCCCTCCCCCCGAGCAGGTCACGTGGTTTTTGGATGGCCCCCAAGCACTGCAGTTAAAGGTAGATTCTTTTCTTTTAGAAATTGTTTTAATTTGGGTACAAATTCTTCTTTAAACCATTCTTGAAATATCGCGGTGGACATCCACGCACTGCTGTGGTCGAGTGTATATTTTCCAATCATGACGATGGTCAGTTTGAACGAGCCATCAGCATTGAAACAAGCAGCAATCGTAAAACGCTCTTTTCTCTTTCTCCATCCTGGTGTCGGCAAATTGTTTTTCTCCACTTATTGTAAGTGCTCAAATTCCTTTACGTTTTTTCCACTTTTCTAGCCATCCATTACTAGCTGCAAAATTAGGATTTCCACCAATTTCTTTATTTATATTTAATGCTTTCATTTGAATCATAGGGCCAGATATAGGAATTTCCTTGGAACGCATTTGCAAGAACCACGTATATAATTCTTCATCTATCACATCATTTTGTACTGATCTCAGTTTTTTGAAATTATAAGAAGTTCTGCTCTCAGAAGCCTTATGTATACTTTCCTTATTTTTGTACCAAGACTGTAAAACTGTATTATGTAAATTATATTTTTCACACACTGCTTGTAGAGATTTATTCTCAGCTTCTTGTATTATTTTCCATTTTTCAGTTACAGTAAAACTTCTTCTTTTAGAATTGTTCTCCATTCTGGCAACATTATTGTTAACATTGTTTCTCTTAGATTTTACCATCAATTGCATAGTTGCAACACTTGCCTCTACTCGTTGTTTTTTAATGCTCTTTTTTTCCATTCTACAAACCAATTAAAATCTATTAAAATCTAGCAAAATCGGATTCTCTAAATAAAAATTTCGTCTAATAGTGGTTGCGACCAAATTTTTTAAAAAATCTAGTTTTAATATATGTGACGCTCGATGATTCCCTGAGTTCATTAACCATAATATTATTGTAAAAATTTTATTCCCTTTAAAAATATTAAATATTAAAAGTAGGAGGTTCACAATGTGATTTTGTAACCTTAAATTTTTCAATTTTTTTAAAAACGCTATTATTAAAAAACTATTAAAAATTAGATGTTGGAACTCACCGAAAACATAAATCACTTTATTCTGCACAGAGGAACGAAAGAATTATTGCAAAAATTTATTATTTTTGGATGATATACGATTTTAAAAAAAATTTTATTTAAATATTCTCAAGATTTTTATTTACTTATAACTTTTTGTCGGTATTCCGAAAAAATTGAGGTTTTGCACAAAGATTTTTTATAATATTCATTACCTTCTATTAAAATCTTACGAAGGTGTTTTGCTTCGTTTTGGAGATATTAATTTTCAAAATTTTTTATTTAAAAAGGTTAATTAAAAGACTTGAAGTTAACTGACCAATTTCAAATCGCTACATTTTAATATATTTTTATAAAAAATGGAGCAGTTTTAATAGTCAATAAAATCATATTAATATTATAAAAATAATTTATTAATTAATAAAAATTAATAATCTTATTAATTATAATACAATTAACGTTTCAATAAAAATCAGTTCTTGAAAGAAAGGAAAGAAATACTATAGTAAATACTTGACACTTGTGTGATATGAGTGAAGAAACTTATTTATAAAGTCTAAATGTTTGGTATATGATGTATTCAACGCCAAAGTTTAAGGCCAGGTCCAAATCGTGTCAGCTGTTCCGTTGAAACTTCAAAGGAACAGCTGACTCAACTTGGACCTGGCCTTAAGTCCATCTGCAATTACATCTCCGATTTTTTTTTCTTTTAGTACTAATTGAGACTGGCTTCCATGAATTTTTTCAAATTTTTTTAGCAAGCCGTTTTCGAGTTATAGAATTTTGAAAATTGGAGAATTTTCATGACTTTTAATTTTTAAATGCTCATAACTTCCTTAAGGCCAGGTCCAAGTGAGGCAGCGCCATCTACATTAAAACAATAATTTTGGAAAATTTTCAACAGCCTTTTCTCGAAAACAAGAAGGTAAAATGCGTTTTTCTTTATGGATAATTGATTATTAGCAAGAAAATACACTACCTAAAACTTTTTTTGGGTTAAAATGATGAAAAAACTTTTATGTCGATAAATTAAATATGAGCAGTTTTTTCACAAAAACTGTAACAGTACTTTCTCGGAATTAACAATCAAGAATACAATTTCCATTTGGAAAATTAATAAACGTTAAACAATACACCAGCTAAGATTCACCAATCACAAAAATAACAACAAAAAATTTTATTACATATTTAACATATGGACACTGTTTTACTGATTATGACAGCCCTTTGGTAGATTATGTATTTCAGGTGGTTATCAACAGCGCCAATCTCCTCCTTTGGGCAAAATCGCGAAACGTCTGGTGACATATATAACCTGCCCAACGGCTGTCATAATTAGTAAAATATGTTATGTTAAAAAACTTTTTATTGTTATTTTCGTGATTAGTAAATCTTAGCTGGTGTATTTTTTAGCGTTTATTAACTTTCCAAATGGAAATTGCATTTTTGATTGTAATTTCTGAGAAAGTACTGTTACAGTTTTTGTGAAAAAAGTGCTCATATTTAATTTATTGACATGAAATTTTTTTCTTTATTTTAACTCAAAAAAAGTTTTAGCTGGTGTATTTCTTGCCAATAATCAATTATCCATAAAGGAAAAAGCATTTTATCTTCTTGTTTTCAAGAAAAGGCTGTTGGAAATTTTCAAAAATTTTAGTTTCAATGTAGATGGCGCTGCCTCACTTGAACCTGGCCTTAAAAATGCATCAATTTTAAAAGTCTTTTTTTTCAAAATGAGTGTTTTTAAACGTACTTTTGCAAAAAAAAATCGAAAGTTTTTTTTAAACGATATTACTATCAAATTTTTTTAGTTTTAATGATAAAAAGTCATTTTTCTCATTTGACGTACTGATCGATTTTTTTCAAAATTTTTTCCAAAAAAACTACTTCTTTTTACGAAACTTTTAAGCCTAGCCCGATAATAGGCAAACGATTTTTTCAATATTTTCGGAATTTTTAAAAAATTTTTGAATTTTTGAAAAATATTTTTTTGGTTTTTTTTATACTACGTACTTTTATGTATTTTGATGCGCTGTTTACGAAAATCATAGTGACAATACCCAAAAATTTGATTTTTATGATGAAAACTATAAAAAAGTCCCAAAATTTATGGTTTTTTTTGTTTATTTGGTAAAATATGCAAAATTAAAAAAATGCATATAACTTTTGTTTGAACATTTTTTTTTAATTTTGCATATTTTACCCAATAAACGAAACAAACCATAAATTTTGGGACCTTTTTATAGTTTTCACCATAAAAATCAAATTTTTGGGTATTGTCAACTATTATTTTCGTAATCAGCGCATCAAAATATATAAAAGTACGTAGTACAAAAAAAAAACCAAAAATATTTTTAAAAAATTCCGAAAATATTGTAAAAATTGTTTGCCCATTATCGGGCTTGGCTTACAAAGCTGAAGTACGCAACGTTTATGATAAACGATTTTTAAAGAAACAATTTTTTAAAATGAAAAATTCTATAATTTTTTTGCCTAAAAAATATTTCTTGTAGTTTTCATTAATCAATAAATTATAAAAAAATATTTTTTAGGCAAAAAATTATAGAATTTTTTATTGTAAAAAATTATTTTTTTAAAAATCGTTTATCATAAACGTTGCGCACTTCAGCTTCGTCTTGGCTTAAAATTTTCGTAAAAAGTAGTTTTTTTGAAAAAATTTTGAAAAAAATTGATCAGCACGTCAAATGAGAAAAATGACTTTTTATTATTAAAATTAAAAAATTTGATAGTAATATCGTTTAAAAAAAATTTTCGATTTTTTTTGCAAAAGTACGTTTAAAAACACACATTTTGAAAAAAAAGACTTTTAAAATTGATGCATTTTTAAGGAAGTTATGAGCATTCAAAAATTAAAAGTCATGAAAATTCTCCAATTTTCAAAATTCCATAACTCGAAAACGGCTTGCTAAAAAAATTTGAAAAAAATTCAAGGAAGCTAGTCTCAATTAGTACTAGAAGAAAAAAAATCGGAGATGCAATTGCAGATTGACGTACACTTTGGCGTGGAATACATCATATATAAAATGGTCAAAATACCTGTGTGAAATGTGATTGTCCGTTTTTAAAGTAATATTAGCCAAAAACTACATGACACCAGCTTGCAGTGGAATGACATTTTGAACGATTTTGAACAATAACAAACAATAACAACCATGATTCTTTACGTCAGCTGATTATATTTGCAGTGTCGGTAAATTATCATCTCCCATTTTAGCGCGCGTATTTAAAATTTATATTTTTTAAAGTTATGTTAAAATCTCGGTTAAAATAATCATTTTATTATTTAAATTAAATTTTATTTTAATGAAAATACATATCGGGAAACGAAAATTACTAAAATTGAAGAATTTTAAAAATATATGTTTTAAATAAATAGGAAAGTTTTTTTTGTAAATTACAAGCACAACTTCTAAGTCAAAGTCAACTTACTCAGTCACTTTAACCAAAAACATTTAAAAATACCTAAACTAATTTTTTTCGTTTTATATCTTGCATTAGAATGTTGTTTTTCACACAATTACGCATTGCACTGAAAATATATGTGACCTGGACAGTTAAAAGGGACCTTTTGTCCGAAAAAATTAATTTTTTATTGATTGGTGATTCTGATAGAAAAAAGTTTTCTCTATCAGAATCACCAATCAATAAAAAATCGATTTTTTCGGACAAAAGGTCCCTTTTAACTGTCCAGGTCACATATAATCTTTGCAGAAGGAAAATTGTCCACCTGTCACAGAGCAACTTGAGAGATGTCTCATTCAAATTTTCGCGCTTCATTTTATTTTGGTGTGCACGGCTGACAGCTTAAAAATAAAATGACCCTAGAATTATAACTAGATTCTAGGGATAGTTGATGTTTTATTCAGAAGTGCCAATCGGCAAAACAGTGCACGTGCACGTGTTTGTGTCTTTCAAAAAAGTTAACTAAAAATCTCAATAAATAAGAATTGTTTCATTGAGATGAACAATATTTCGAGTTTATAGATAAGTGAATTTGCATTTTACCAATTAAGAACAAGTAATAATTTTTAATAACCGTAAACTCCTGAGTACTGCAAGTAAGTAAAACATTTATTTATTCAAAATGAGGTTATGTTTATATTTTAACGTATATTTTATTTAAAAAAAAACTGTTTCTTTTAAATAACATTAAAAATATTTTAATAAAAAAATATTTTTCTATTTAAAATAAATTATTTAATACAGTACCTTAATTATTGGATTAACGATTTGAAAAATTATTTTCTTAAAGGTTAGGAATTTGCAATTCTTATAACTATTGCTTATTGAAAAACGTTAAAAAATAATAGTAAATTATAATTATTGAAATTAAATATCTATTTTTTAGAAATAATTATTGTCATAGATTTCTGTTTATTTCTAGAATGACGACGTCTCTTGCAGAACAGTTGAATAGGTTGCGAGCACCTCAAACTTCATTATTGCTTCAAGATAAAAAGAGACCTAGTTTATTATTTGATCCCAAGGATGCTGCTAATCTTGACAGAGAAACTGTTTTAAATATTGGTGAGTGATATGTATAATTCATTTAAAAAAGATTTTTATTATTCAATCCATTATATTTCACCTAAAATCGTTGCAGCCTTTTTCTATAAATATAAATAGATTCAAAATATTAAAACTTACATAAAAATTTAATAAAAAAAAAAAAAAAAAAAAAAAAAACAAAATTGAGTTTTTAAATATTTTTTTAATGTTGAAACATCAATAACTTTGAAATGTTTTATTGAAAAAAATCAATTAATTTGTTTTTAAATATTCTCTAAGTTTTTTATAATAATTTTAGAGTTAGAAGAAATTTTATAAACAAAAATAGTCCAAACAGTCAAGTTTTTAAAAAAATTTTCGATTTTTAAAATGTCAATAATTCTCGACAGAATAATAGTAGAATGTTCGCTAATAAATCAAAAAAAAAATTAAAGGACGTTTATCCACGGAAATGCAGACCTCCAGAAAAAATAATTAACGTTTAAATAATTAAAATAAAGTTATTAATTGTACTTTCTAAAAGAAGGAATATCAATTTTTAAGAAAAAAATTTAAAACCTAAAAAACTTATTTGTTTAAAAAATTTTCTGTCACATCGCTTCTACAAAATTTTTTAAAAATAATTTCATTTCAATGTAATATGGCTTACTTTCTTTAGAAAATGATTTTCTACAACTTCACCGTGAGGATTTACAAACAAGCAGAAAATCCCCACTGTAAAGTTGTAGAGAATCATTTTCTGAAGAAAATAAGCTATATTACATTGAAATCAAATCATTTTGTAATGATACATTATTTTAATAAAATGCAACTTTTTCTTTTTACATTTTTAAGCAAAATACGTTTTTTTAGTGTACAATGCAGATATTTTTCAGATCATCTTTATTTCAATTATTTAACAAATTTTTAACTAAAATTTTTCACTAAATTAATTATTTTTAATAATTTTAATGAAATTCTTCATAAATTCAATTGGTATCTTATACTGTTTTTCAATTAAAATTTTTATGAAATTTAATAATTGTTTATAATTTTAAAAAAATTAGCAAATAAAATTTACAAAAATTTTTAATTCAAAATTACTTGAAATTTAATTTTTTGCAAAAATTTCAATTTTTTTTAATGATTTTTTTAATATTCTTCGAAAATTCAACTATCTGAAACCATTTTTCTGTAAAACTTAATTATTGTCTGAAAATGAAAAAATTCTTTTGAAATTCAATTATTTCTAAAAATTTCAACTTTAACTCTTCCAGAATTATTATTATTTTAAAATAATGTTTATTTAAAAATCTGTAAAACTTGATTAAGTATTGCCTGAAATTTTTTTTACCATCAAAACTAAAAACTATGACAAAATTTTTAATTAAAATAAATTGTTTAAATCAGACTTCAAAAAATTATAAAAATGGAATTTTAAGAATTTTTTTTTTTTTAGAAATTTCAAATTTGTACTACTTAAATAAAATATTGAAAATTTGTCTTACAATTAGTTCGATTTTAAAATATTCGGAATAAATTTTCTTGATAATATTTTTATAGAATTATTCTCATTACAGAATTAATAAAATAAATTGAATATCTAATAACATTAGTTATTTAAAGTAAAATATTCATTATCAATTGAATTTTGTTAAAATAAAAAAAATCGACTTTTTCGACTTTTTTTTGGTATATAAAACGACTAAAGCGACTTTTTTGTGCCTTAAACTCGATCCGAGGCCTGCGATTAAAAAACCATACATATTTGCTAAAATTACTTTAATATTTAATAAAATATAAATATTTTAAGAAAAAATTTTAAAAAACCACAGTAATCGGACACTGTTATTAATTTCGGACAGCAGTCAGAAATTTTTAATTTATGAAGTAAAAAAAAAACTATTTGTATTGTTTTATGCTGTCCAAATATTATATAATAATAAAATGCTTGGTCTGTCCTTCTGTCTTAACTTGAAGTTGGCCTTTTCTGATTTCACGTGTTTTTTTGAATAGTAATCTTATGACGTGTCAAATTTTGACAATTCTTTTTCTCATTTTTGCCAAAGTTGTATAATTGTGTTTCCAAATTTGGGAATAAGTTTCTTTAAAATTCCAAATTCCAAAATTCAATTCACGAAGCTGAAGTACACAACGTTTACCAACGAAATTTTTTTTAAAGTTGTATATTGATTCAAAAATTGTATACAAATACAAAAAAATTATGATGAGAAAAAAGATGCGCCAGGAAATTTCGTACAAGATAGTAATTTGAAAAAAATTTATTTTTAAAAATTAATTTTTAAGGTACCAGGGGCCAACGAATACCTATTAAATATTAATTATAAAAACACAGGCCTCGAATCAACTTAAAGACACAAAAAGTCGTTTTAGTCGATTTATATTCCAAAAAAAGTGGATTTGTTTTTTATTTTAACAAAAATATTTTACAGATTTTTAAATAAAAAATTTTTTTTTTTTAATAATAATCCTTTTCGAAGGGTTAAAGTTGAAATTTTTAGAAATAATTAAATTTCAAAAGATATTGTTAATTTTCAAACAATTATTAAATTTTACAGAACTAAAAATAATTTATCAAACAATTTTTGGAAAACATTTTTTAAATTTAATTGAATTTTCAAAGATTTAAAATTGAGATTTTTGAAATTAATTGAAACTTTAAGTGTTTTGTAATTAAAATTTTAGATGATTTCACTAAAAATTTATTAGAAAATGCGGACAAAATACAATAATTTGAAAATCATTTTTAATTGAAAAATGGTTTCAGATAGTTAAAATTTCAAAGAATATTATTAAAATAGTTAAAAATAATTGAATTTCCTTAGAGTTATAAGTGAAATTATTAAATTTCAAAAAAAAAATTTTCGATGGAAAATTTTAGAAATAATTAAATTTTAGATGCTTTTAAATTCAAATTATTGAAAATTCAATTAATTTTGAATTCAAATTTTTGAGAATAATGAAATTTTATTTGATTTTAAATTTGGAAAATAATTGAATTTTAGTTCATTTTGAATTGAAAATTTTGAATAATAATTTAATTTAAGTTCATTTTTGATTGAAAATTTGGATAATTAATTTTGAATAGAAATTTTAAAAAATAATTGAATTTTATTTCATTTTAAATTGAAAACTTGGTAAATAATTAAATTTTAAATTGAAAATTTTGGATAATTATTGGATTTTTAATTGATTTTGAATTAAAATTTCGGGTAATAATTGAATTTTAGTTTATTTTGAATTGAAATTTTAAAAAAATAATTCAATTTTATTGTGATATTTTTTTTTTAATTATAAACAATTGGTAAATTTCATAAAAATTTTAATTGAAAAATAATTTTGATATAATTGAATTTGTGATGTATTTCATTAAAATTATTAAAAATAATTAATTTAGTGAAGAATCATTTTAGTTCAAAATTTGTTAAATAATTGAATTGAAGAAGATCTGAAGAAGATCTACATTTTATACTAAAAAATGTATTTTATTTACATTTTTTTTCAAATGTAAAAAAAAATATCACATTTTATTAAAATAAGTCGATAAAAGTCGTATTTTTGAAAAAAGTCGGAAAAAGTTGTATAATCCGAGGCCTGTAAACATATAATTTTCATTATTATCATTTAATATGTAATAATATTCTAATAAATTAAATTATTATTGATCATATTAATCTTTAATTTCTTTATAACAAACAATTAAATATTCAATTTGGCGCGCTTGCGCGCGTTTAATTTTGTTACTTTATTTTATAAAATAATAATAATAATTAGTTATTATTTATTCGACAAAAACATAAAAGTGTTAAATAAAATAAATAATTTTTACTGATATCAAAAATGATTATTTAAAAATTATAAGATTTTTTAAAAAATAGGCCACAACGATTGTAGGTAAAGAATATAGAATTTATCCTTATAAAAATAATAATTTTAATTATAATTTTGATATTAATGAAATTGTTCTAATTTAAAAATTCAATTTCTTTTAGGTCTAAGTGGACTGAAGGAATTAATCAAACTGAGCAATCTTTTTGAAGAATTTGAAGGAACTTTATTTGCACAAAGTTCTCTGAATTTAGAGCGTGCTGTACAAGGCTCTAAGCTTAATAAAAAATTAGATGCAAATATTGAGAAATTTTTGATACTTCTTGCACCTTATTTTCTATTAGATTATTCACATAAAGCTTTGGAATGGCTTATTCGCAGATTTCGTATTCATCAATATAACAAGGACCAATTTCTATTGTTGATTCTACCATTCTACGAAACACGCATGTTTGCAAGGTAAATTAAAAATTTTATTAATAATTTTTAATTTTATATTTATCCAATTTATTATTTTATCATTTTATTATGTACTTAATTTTTAGTTTTTTATTTCTATTATTATTATTTATCAAATGACGTTATCATTTACTATTTTTAAAGCGAGGGATCAATGAAATTTTAAATGATTAAAATTTACAATTTTGATAGGCAACTAATTTTCTTTTTCTGGAATTATTTAGAATCTAAAATTATTATATTTATTAAAATTTTGCTAAAAAATTACTTTTGACCTTTTGAGAATTTTATTTGTTTGAAAAAAATTAAATTTTTTTTTCAACATTCATTCGATAATTTGTTTGAAATTATAAAAAATAACTATTTTAATAAAACTGTCGATGAATTTAAAAAAAATTTTTTTTTTCCCAATAAATCAGTTATATTCATTAGTGAAACTAATTTATGGCAAAAAATCAGTCGTCATTAATTTAAATTAGTTAAAAATTTTTACTAATTTAGAATTATAGAGGAAAAAATTATAATTTTGTAGACCTTCTTGTTTAAATGAAAAAATAATTTAATTGAAATAAAAAGAATATTGACGTTTATTTTTGAAAAAATGTGAAAAAAACATGAATTTTCAAGGTTTGTTTTCAAATTTTTTGAAAAAGAATTTAAATACCTTATCGCCTCCATTAAATTATTCTTGCAGCTCTACAGGGAAGTCAAGAAAAAGTTAGAAAATATTCACAATTTTTTGTAATTACTAAATAATTAATAATTTTTTTGGAGAGTGCTAAAAAAACCTTTTTATTTTTACAAAAGGGAATCAAATTTTTAATTTTTTCCTCAAATTCTCATTTTTTTTTCTTTCTTTTCAAATTTCTAAAATTATATATTGATTTTTCTTTTATTTTCTTTTTTTCTAAGACTTTCTACATATTAGATTTTCCTTAAAATTGTTTCATAAAATATTAGTGCTCTGGCATATAATATCGATTAATTATACTATTTTTGAGTTCTCTACAAAATTTTAATTCAATACTATCAAATATTTTGCTTTTACAACGCAGATCAAAAATTTTTCCCTTAGAATTCTCAGTTTATTTTTATATATTTCAAAATATTATCGATTTCTCTTTCAATTTTAAGCAATGCATAGTGAGAGAAATGATATATAAGTCAGGGAGCATTTTTTTTAAAAACTTTTTTAGACACAATAAAATATTAAATAAAAAAAAAAATTATTTTCAGAGCATTACAATTAGTGGATGTATCAGATGCTACAGATAAATGGCATTGGTTAAAATCAGTTCAAAAAACAAGAGGTCCTCTCTCCTCTTTAGTCTTGATAAATCGAATGACCTCCGATAATGGTTTCTTCAAATTGATTTGTAATCATGTGATTAATGCAACAAAAATTTATGGTTCTCAAGCAACAAGTTTAGCAACATTGTATAATTTTTATACATCTACACTTATCAAGTCAATTAATCGAATTACAACTATTTCTGATATTCAAATTAATCATTTGCTTCCAGCACTTGTTAGTGGATTATCAAGTTCAATTCAAGATTTTGCCGCTGGTAGTTACATGATTTTTTTCACTCTCAACACTAAAGTCAAACTCAAAGACGATACCATTGATTATCTTTTATATAAATCTTTTAAACGTTCAAGTATGCATTATGGAACATTACTGTTTTTAATTTCATTTTATAATTCATACACCAATCCACTTGAGACAATTTCTGATAGACTAGTCGTTCGTTTATCAAATTTATCATGGTTTATAGAAAATCTTATAAAAATTAAATCATCTGGTGTAAAAACATCGAAATTCATTGGACTTCTTTTGGAATCTGCACTTCGTTATATTTTAATAAATCCCAATGAATCGGAGAATGTTGAAAAAATGATGGATGATATTTTTCAAAAAGTTTCACTAGACGATGAAGTGGATATATTTTTAACATCAATTTTAAAAAATAAATTAGTCAATCTTGTGAGAACAGAAGAATCAAAACAATATCTAATGAATTTATATAAATCATTAGAGAAAAGTTATCCAAATAAATTTGATGAGATGCTAAAGAAAATAATGAATTCCTGTGATAATAATGAGGATGCAAAGGAAAATTTAAAATTTCTCATGTCATGGCACGATGGTGCACGTGATTCTGAGGGTTCATTGGAGATTTTAAATAATTTATCACACGCCAATTCAGAGCAACGAATTTTGGCATTGAAAATAATATCAAAAAATTCAATTGTAATATCGGAAAATTTTCAAGATTTAATTTATCAAACTTTATTGGCACGATTTAATGATGATGACGATCATGTTATTGGTACTTTACTTTCATTTTCAACTAAACGATTAAAAGAACTTTTTTCCGTTCAAGTATTAGTGGAAAAATTAATGATTCTCGTTTCGAAATGTAATGCAAAAAATCGAAAAATTGTTGCTGAGCCAGCAATAAAAATTCTTTTGGAAATTTGTGATAATGGAGAAGACGCAAGTGTATTTCTAGTTGTACTTCCTTATATATTTCCAATTGTCAATGATCATGTGAAAATTAGTTTAGAAATTTTGGATTCAAATTTTGGTAAGAGGAATAAATTTTTTCGTACACTTAAAAAAGAATTGGAGGAGGATCTCAATAAACGTCGAAATGAATCTGTTGAAAAATTATCAAATTTAGAACAAATTAAATTAATAGCCAATGAAGAGAAGGAATCAAAAATGATTGCTGAATGGTTAGTGTCAATGAGTTTTCATTCACTTTTAAATAAAGATTTATTACCACCAACGGATATTATAATAAATACAATGAAACAACAAATGAATGGCGATGCGGCTTTTTTATTTTTTAATATGCTTTTACTTGGTTCAGTTTGTCGTGTACCAGTTGGTTCACTTTCATTTGATGTTGCAAAAGAAGCTATTGAATTAGTTTCAGAAATGTTGAAAAATTACAAAAATGTTCGACTTTTGCCCGATACTTCACATTTGACAGATCAAAAAATGCCAGAAGCACTTTCTTTAACGTCAAAAGGAATTCTTCCACTTCAAGCAGGAACCTATGTTTTGGAAATGATACACAGACGTCTTGATTTTAAATCCGAAAGTTTTATGTTTGATTTTGAAAATGACGAAGAACGAAGTAAATTAATTGTGAGATTAATTGAAATTTATTTAAATGGTACAAATAATAAGAAGACAAAATCACACTATATGTGGTGTTTAAAAATATTTTTTCAAAGACATTTTGCTGATTTGCAAAATCTTTTGCAATTTTTGTCCCAATTATTTAATGAACCAGTGAAAAAGGAAATTTCCTATCACGCACTCGAAATGACACTTCAATTATTAAATGACTGTAAATCATTTCAATGGATTTTTAAGGATGAAATATTTATCAGTAATTTATTAATAAGTTTAACGTCAAAAATAAATAAATGTCGTGGAATTTCTGTTAATATTTTGAAAAAAATTTCACAAACATTTAATCTCAAGGGTGAGGGATTTTTTACACTTCTACAGGAATTGTCAATGAGAAGTCATGAAATTGATATGGATTCTGAACAATGTAGTTTGATACTTTATTTTTTGTTATCACCAGATCCGGACGTACGTCATTTATTAAATGATGATGTTAGGGAGAAATTGAATGAGGCGCAAAAAATGCTTTTTGATGTTATTAGAAATGAAAAAATTCCCATTCATTTGATTGCACAATTACTTGATTGTTTGATTAATGTGAATGGTGCAACAATTCTCAAATTATTGGCACCACTTGGATTAAAATTTCTTGCAATGGCAAAAAAACAGCCGGAAAATAAATACATTAGCATTGGATTAACAAATATTTTACAAAGAATTAATAGCAGTTGTGTAAGTGCTCTACAATGTAAGGATGTTTGGAAATTATTTGAAATGTCACTCTCGGATCATACATCACAAATTTTAGTGAAAAATACCCTAAAATCGCCAAGTATGATAATAATAAAACAAATTGATGAGACATTTTTTGAGAATTTAAATAAAATCTCACCACAATTGCAGAGGAATCTTTTTTCAAAATTAATTGACGTTATCACTGATTGTGAAGTGAATATTGTTAGTTCAAAGGCAAGTAAAGCATTTAGAAGAATAAAAATTGATGCACAATTTATTGTTAATGAATTAAAAGAAATGACAAAATCTGATTTGAAAAAAATTGAAACAAAAACAAAGAGAAAATTAAATCAAGTTTCACAAAATCCTGATTTAATTAATACACATAAATGGAAGAGAGGTATAACTTTACTTGAATTTATAAAAACTGCAACAAACATTGAAAATGAGAAAATTCTCATTTTACCTTTATTTGATCTTCTTCGTACTTGTCTCAGTTTTGAAATTCAAGATCCCGTTGAATATACAAATCAATTGGTACTTTCGGCACTTCATCTTTTGTCAACTAAATCACTTCCAATTCAAGGTGCACATTTACATATTGCCTTAATAGCCGAGTGCATTAGAATTTCACGAAATCCCCAAACACATTATTATGCACTATCGCTTTTAGTTGAATTGTTTAAAGTTGCCGATACACAAAGTGCTCTTAATAATATTATGCCAATTTTCACATTTATGGGTAGCTCTGTATTAAGACAAGAGGATTCTTATTCAATTCAAATAACATCGAAAACAATTGAGACAATTATTCCCGTTGTGAATGCAGGTAATGATGAAAATAAAACCTGTGAAATATTACGTCTCTTTATTACTTCATTACCTGATATTCCTGAACATCGTAGAATTCCAATATTTGTCAAACTTCTTCAATTTTTAGAAAATTATATACATCTTTATTTCTTATTGACATTTGAATCACATGTTTTGTCAGAGCAAAATAATATTCAAGGACGTGCACAAAAAATGGAATTTGCTCAACAAATATCACTTGAATTTTCATCGCAAAAAATGATTAATATTTGCGTGAAATTGGTGCAATTTTTGAAAATTTTACCAATTGAAATTGATGACGATCGTCAAAAAATAAGAAAACATGGATTTAAAAATAATCATATATTTAATGTTGAGAAAAATTCACCAAAACAATTGCGACACTATAAATATACAATTGTACAATTTTTAAGTCAACTTCTCTCGCGAACAGAATTTATTAATCAAATTGCAGAATTAGATTTAGAAACAATGAATGAATTAATGTGTGATTTTGATAAATTAATTATTGAATTGGTATTAATGATACAAAGTACATCGAAAAGTGTTGAATTACATCAGGGTAAACCAAAGGGGAAATATTGGAAAATTTTATTGCGTCATTTATATGATATTTTGGATTTGGTGAACAGTTTATTGCCAAATAAAGCATTTATTGAGAGTATTAAGAGGCTCGTTAGTCATGAATTGTTGAGTGTTAGAAGAAAAGCATTGGAATTATTAAATGCAAGATTACAACAAAGGAATTTTGGTGAACAAGATCATGATGATTTGTTGAGTTTAATGGATTCATTTTTGGATATACTTAAAGGTCCACATAAACTTCTCAGTCAAGAAATGGAGATAATACAACAAACGGCTTTAATTAGTATTAAATTATTAGCCAAATTCCTCGCTACAGAACATCCACAAAATTTCAAACCGGTAATTAAAATTTTTTTTAAATACATTTATATTTATTAAAATTGCTCATTCATAAATTTCTACTAAGATTAAAATATAAACAGGCCTCGGATTATATGATTTTTTCTAAATTTTTTTCGACTTGATTACAAAATTTTTAAAACAAAATACATATTTTTAGTATACAATGCAGATCTTCAGATCTTCTTTATTTCAATTATTTAACAAATTTTTAACTAAAATTTTTCTCTAAATTAATTATTTTTAATAATTTTAATGAAATTTTTTACAAATTTCTTTACAATTAAAAATTTTATGAAATTCAATAATTATTGTTTACACTTTAAAAAAAAATTAAATAAAATTACCAAAAATTTCAATTTAAAATTAAATTATTTTTAAAATTTTTCATTTAAAACTTAATAATTTTAATTATAACTGTAACAAAATTCAATTATTTTTTAATGATTTTTATAATATTCTTCGAAAATTCAATTATCTAAAAGGATTTTTCAAATTAAAAAATTTTAAAGTTTAATTTTTGTCTGTAATTTCTAATAAATTCTTCATCAACAGAAATCACAAAAAATCTCAATTAAAAATCACTTGAGAAATTCATTTAATTTAAAAAATCTGAATTGTAAATCTTTGAAAATTCAATTACTTTTAAAAAATGTCATCAAAAATTATTTAATAAATTATTTTTAATTTTGTGAAATTTAATTATTGTCTGAAATTTAACAAAAAACATTTTTAAATTGAATTAATTTTAAAATTGTTCATTTAAAACTTTTTTAAAACTTAATAATTTCAATTATAACTCTTCAAAAAATTCAATTATTTGAATGTATTTTTTAATTAGAAAATTTTGAAATTCAATTTTTGTTTGTAATTTCTAATAAATTATTCATTACAAAAATTTCAATTAAAAATCACTTGAGGTTCAATTAATTTTAAAAATCTGAATTATAAATCTTTGAAAATTTACTTACTTTTGAAAAATGTTATCTGAAATTATTTGATAAATTATTTTTAATTTTTTTTTTTATTTTAAAACTTTCGAAATAAATTTTTTTTTATAATATTCCTATAGAATTATTCTTACAATTAAGATATTAATAAAATGGATTTAATATCGAATAACATTAATTATTTAAATTAAAATACTTATTAACTAATTAATAAGGGGGATTTAATAATTAAAGGTAGGTGATTAAAATAAAATAAAAAAACTATTTTTTCAACTTTTTTTGGAATGTAAATCAACTGAAACGACTTTTTTTGCGCATCCGAGGCCTGTATAAAAAGTAGTAATAACCAAAGAAAATTTTTAAAAAAAAGTAGTATTTTAATCAAGAAGAAGTGAAAAAAAAATTTAATTTTGAATTTAATAAAATTTTAATTTAAAACTTTGATTAATTGTAAAATATAATTTATTTTAGGAAATTTTATTTGTATATATTATCTCTAATATATGTACGGATTTTTTTTTACAGATTCTTGAGTTGACAATAAATTTGGTGAAAAATAGAAATGGACCAGTTTTGGGTAGTGCAACAGCATGTATTGGAGAATTATGTAGTTCAATGAGAATTCATGCAATTTATTCACTTAATAAATTTTTCCCGGCAATTTTGACACTATTGGAGAAACAAATTTATCAAGAAGTACCGGATTTAATAATGATTAGTATCGTTTGTGCTCTTCAGAAAATAGTTGATACAATGGCCAATTTAATTTCGCCTTATTTCGATCAATTATTGTTTGAACTCTCTCGACTTAATTCACTGTATATCGATTCTGAAAATCCAAAGGTAAGAATTATTCATATTAATTAAATATAGAAAAAATTAACAAAAAAAAGACAAATAAAATTCATTTATATTGAAATATTTTTCAACATTCTTAAATTTTAAATATATTTTAAAATTTCAAACAAATTTTTATACACTTGAAAATATTTTAAAAAAAAATTTTTTTAATTTAATGCGAAAACAGATAAATTAGAGTTTTTTTTGCTAAATAAATTCTTTTCGTTTTTAAATAAACATAAAAAGTAGAAAACTGACTTAAATTTAGTTCAATGGCTTGAAAAAAAAACAAAGAATTTATTTTATGTTTTTTTCTTAAAGCTTGAATTTTCAAAAATATTTTTTTGATTGAATTTGGATTGGAAAATTGTTTTCCGTTTGTGCGAAAATGATTTTTTTTTTTTGTCAATTATTATTTACAATTGTTCAATCCTTTTTATAGAGCTTCAAGTTAAATAGAACATTTTTAATTTTTTTAAATTCATTTATATTTAAAAATTGAATTATTGTAGAATTGAATTAAATTGTAATTTAATTATTTTTAAATTAATTAATTTTTTAAGTTCAATGTTATTTATAAATTCAATTATTTTCGCATTTATCTTCTAAATTGAATTGTATTAAGTTTGAGAATTTTCGTGTGACACAAATTGTAATTTTTTAAATATTTTATCTATATCTGAACAAATTATGATTAACTGCTCTACTTTTCTATCAGTTTCCTGCATAGGAAAGAGATATTTGTTTAAAAAACAAGATCGAAACAATTTTAAACCGATTTTGCACACAAAATTACAATACAAGTTTTTCAATTTTTTTTTTTTAATTCGTTTAATGAAAATACAAACATTTGAAATTATACAATAGTTAAATATGTTAAAAATTTTAATTTACAAAATAGTTGAACAGCAACAAATTTTAATTTTAAAAATAATTTTGAAAATAATTAAATTGCGAAATAATTGTTAGTATTTTATAACTGAATTTATAGAACAACTAAAATGAAAATGATTGAATTTACAAAATAATTGAATCTTAAGATCTATTAAATTTAAATAATTAATTATTATTAATTAATAATTAAATTGTATTATTATTCAACTGACTTTTAATTGAACCAAATTTTAATTTAACAAAATTTATGTTTTAACAAATTTTCATTTAATTAAATTGTTATTTAAGAGAATTTGCATTTCATTGAATTATCATTTGATTGAATTTATTTTAGACATAATTTTCATATAATCGAATTATTATTTAAAGAAATTTTCTTTTTAAAAAATGTTTATTTAACTTTAAATTTGCATTTAACCGAATTTTGTATTAAACAAATTTTTATTTAATTAATTTTTCATTTTTTTTCAAACAATCGGTTTAAATTTTTTCTTATTGTTTTTTTAATATTTATGTCATACAACAAGAAATTTGTAGAAACCTTCAGTTCAAATAGTTGAAATTTTATTGCTGTAGTGAATATTGAAATTCTTTATATTAAATATTGTTGACAATTTTTTTTTAATTTCTGAAAATTGTTTTCAATAGATAGGAATAGTTGTCTCAAGATTGAAAGCAACAGGAAATAAACTTGCTAGCTCAGTGCCTCTTAGAGTTTTATTGCCAGCTGTAAAAAATACCTACGACGAGCTTTTATCTAAGAAAAAATACAAATACATTGATCCTCTATTGGGTATTTTGGCTGAATCGTTTACAAATATACAAGCATCTGATTTAAATACTGCTATGCCAAATTTAATAACATTTTTCTTAAATATCTTGGAATTCCGTGAACAAGTTGTAAAATCCGAAGACATGGAAATTGATGACGATATTGGGGTTGCCTTGTCGGATATGAAAAACGTTGAAGAGAGTGCAAGTAAAACAATGGTGGCATTAATATTTAAATTAAATGAAGATACATTTAGGCCATTTTATTATAGATTATACGATTGGGCAGCGAGAAATCCACATCATAAGCATCGAAATATCACTTTTTATAGGTATCAAATTTTATTATCATTCAATTTTTTGTCAGAAATATAATATTTGTAACGCAATTATTTACACAATAAGATAACAAAAAAAACAACTAATAATGAAAAAATAAGTATTATAAAATTAATGAGTTCTTGTTTATTAAAATTAGATAAAAATTGTGATTTTTGACTGAGCTGAAAGAAAAAACATTAATTATTTTACTGAAAATATAGTTGTTATAATATTTTATTAATTAATTAAAAATGATTTATTTTTATAGATTATCAGCGACAATTGCGGATTCATTGAAATCACTTTTTGTACTTTTCGCTGGGCACTTTTTAAAACACGCTGCTTTACTATTGAGCGCAAATAATTTATCAATAAACGATGAAATTCAAGAAACGACAATTGATGATGAATCAAGTAGAATTGAACTTATTGAAGTGATATTATTAACACTTCTCAGAGTCTTCTCTTACAATGCTCACGATTTCTTAACTCAGGAACGTTTTAGTATTCTTCTTCAGCCAATAGTTGATCAAATAGAAAATACCATGGGAACTAAGGAAGAATATGAGAAGCGATCAAATGAATTAATTGTTCCATGTGTGGCGTCTTTTGCTGCTGCCACTTCTGATGATTCGTTACATAAACAACTTGTTTATCAAATTCTTCTTAAATCAAGACACACGAAAGCTTATGTCAGAAATTCTGCTCTCAACTCTATTGTAAGTATATTTATATTTTATTTAATGTGTCTTTAATGTTATAATTTACAAATTATTACTATTATTATTATCATTAATTTATTTCGAATATTTCAAAATTAAACTTAATTGTAAGACAAATTTTTGAAAAAATTCTTAAAATTCCGTTTTTATAATTTTTTTAAGTCTGATTTAAGCAATTTGTTCGAATTAAATTTTTTTTTATAGTTTCTTTTAGTTTTGATGATCAAAAAAAATTTCAGGCAATACTTAATTAAGTTTTACAGATTTTTAAATATAATTTTTTTTTAAATAATAATTTTAGAAGAGTTAAAGTTGGAATTTTTAGAAATAATTGAATTTTCAAAGATTTATAATTTACATTTTTGAAATTAATTGAACTTCAAGTGATTTTTAATCTACAATTTTTGATGATTTCTGTTATTAAAAAATTTATTAGAAATTGCAGAGAAAAATAAAAAATTTGAAAACATTTAAAATGAAAAATGGTTTCAGATAGTTGAATTTTCGAATAATATTATAAAAATTATTAAAAATAATTGAATTTCAGAAGTGTTAAAAATGAAATTAGTTTTCAAAAAGTTTTAGATGATAAATTTTAAAAGATAATTAAAAGATAAAAGATAATTAATTTAGAGAAAATTTCAGTTAAAAATTTGTTAAATAATTGAAATAAAGAAGATCTAATGAAAATTTTTTATTATATATTAAAGAAAGACGTATTTTGTTTAAAAATTTTGTAAAAAAATGTTGAAAAAAGTCAAAAAAGTCGCATCTTATTCAAATAAGTCGAAAAAAGTCAGAAAAATTAAATTGAAATTTAATATTGAAATTTTGGAAAATAATTAAATTTCAAAAGATTGTGTTAAATTTTTAGACAATAATTATAATAAGAGAAATTTTTATTGATTTCTGTTGATGAAAAATTTAGAAATCACATACAAAAATTGAATTCCAAAAGTTTATAATAGAAAAATGCTTTCAGATAATTGAAATTTAGGCAAATAATTAAATTTCAAGTGATTTTGAATTAAAAATTTTTGGTAATTTTATTTGCTAATTTTTTTTTAATTATAAACAATTATTAAATTTCATAAAAATTTTAATTGAAAAATAGTTTAAAATAATTGAATTTGTGAAGAATTTCATTAAAATTATTAAACATAATTAATTTAGTGAAGAATTTTAGTTAAAAATTTATTAAATAATTGAAATAAAGAAGATCTGAAGGAGATCTGCATTGTATACTTAAAAAACGTATTTTGTTTAAAATTTAAAAAAAAAATGTAAAAAAAGTCAAATAAGTAGCATGTTATTAAAATAAGTTGAAAAAAGTCGGAAAAAACCGGATAATCCGAATCCTGTACTTATTAATTAACTAATTAAATTTAATTAAAATAAAAAAATCGATTTTTTTGGAATGTAAATCAACTGAAACGACTTTTTTTGCACCTTAAATTCGATCCGAGGCCTGTAATTTCAATTATTATTTAATGGAAGGTAACAGGCAAATTTTCGTTGTTTTAGGGTATTAATTAATTTTTTTTTTTATAAAATAATGCTGCGTTATGAAAATTTAGAAAAAAAATTAGTAATTAACAAATTTTATAATAGAACTTTTAAAATTCATGAAAAATTGAAATTTGAAATTCTTTCTCAATTTTATTATTCGATTCAATATTTGAAGATAATTTCAATTATTTGATTTATAATTTGAACATAATTTTAATTATTTGGTAGGAAAATTTAATTTTACTTATTTCATTAAAAATTAAAAGAGAATTTTAATTATTTCATTGAATATTTAAAGTTACTTTCAATTGAAATATTAAATTCAATTAAATATTTGGACATAATTTCAATTATTTTATTAAAAAATTTGTTGATAATTTCTATTATCTGACTATAGAGTTATATTATAAAAAGAAGTTGATAAATTACATGATAAGTTCAAATAATTTCCATAAATTAGTCTTCGTGAAAATCTCTATAAAGAAAGGAAAGGAACTAGAAATTTTTTAATAATTCAATTTTATGAATTCAAATTTAAAATTTTGACCAACAATTATTTGTATTTATTAAAAAAATTAATGAAATTATTTTTATTAATGTAATGTTTAACAGTAATATTCAATAATTTATTAATATAATAAGTAATTAATAATTTTAGTAAATTAAAAAGCTTTATTATTGTTAAATTGTTTTTATTTATTTTTAAAATTTAAGTTTAACGTTTTCTTTATTGCATTCCAGGTGGAAATAGCGCGAAAATTAGGCGAAGAATTTATGCCACTTTTGCCGGAAACTGTACCGTTCCTAGCAGAATTATTGGAAGACGAGGACGAAGTCACTGAGAAGAATGCACAGAATGCAGTGAGAACACTTGAAGAAATCCTTGGCGAACCACTTCAGAAATATTTCTGATTTCACGAGCACTTAAAATTTATCGATGTTTTAAAATTCTTTTATTATAATTTTAAAACAAGAATACGTCTGTTTAATACGTGGTATTAATTCCAGTTAATTATAAGAGATTTATAAATATATATATAATATAGTTAATTGATTATAAAATTTCGCGAGAAATTATCTTCTTAATTTGTAAAATATAAATATGAATTGAAATTATATTTAGGAAATGATAAATAAATAAAGTAAAATTGTCTATTTTACGAAAAACATTCGTTTATTTTAACTTAATTACATTTGGACGAAATATATATATATTTTATATATATATTTATATTTTAATATATATTTATTTGTTATACATATATATATATCTTCCTACATTATAATACAACTTTGTAAATAATTAAAAGTACATATATATAATAACTTTTGACAATATTAGTAAAATTAAACTTAAAATGATAATGTGATTGATGAAAAATAAATGTATGTGAAATTTATTTTTTTGAATGATGAAGGTAGAAAAATAAAAGCAGAGGAATTTGAGGCCAGATACGCCATAGGGTATCTGTACTCTGGCACATGAATGAATTATCTTCAGTTTGTTCATATCGTCCTTATTTTCTTTTGAGGAAAAACAGAACTCGGAAATGCAATAGTGTATGTGTGTGTGTGTGTGCGGGTGGTTTTCTTCGTGCGCCACCCGATGACGATAAAATTGAGTTCACAAATTTTCTCATGACTCCTCTGTAGTTTTGAGTATAATCTTAGGCCATAATTAGATACTCTCTCTCTCGCTCTCTCCTTTCATTCGTTTTGTCCTAAACTAGTCTTTAGTAATTTTCCAATTAAACTGGAGGAACTCCATTTGCAGCGTCTAAAGCAACTTCTTCCACATGACCCTCAGACGGTGCTTTCCTAATGAGAGAAAAAAAATTGTTTTATTATTTTTAAAATTCCCCTACAAAAAAAGACACTTATGAGACTGGATTCATCTCAAATCATGGTTTATTGAGAATTAACTTCACAATATTGTGCTTTTTTGAATTAAAAATAAAGAAAAACGTTTTTTTTTTTTTTGATTCACAAAAATTTTTCTTTGTAATTTTTACGGATATTTTAAATATTTAGCAAATATTTTCATTTAGCCAAATTTTATAAAATATATTTTATGAGCCAAATTTTCATATCGAACAATTTCTATTCAACTAATTTCTGATTTAACATAATTTCTATCCCATAACATAATCTCAAAAAAAAAAAAAATTATTTTTCACAGAACTAAAAATATATTTAAAATTTATTACACCAAATTTTGAAAGATTTATTTGTACAATTTTCAAGCCAATTTAGTTGGTTATAGGCTTATTTTTTCAGTTTTTTTGTTGAAAATATCATCAAAAACCAATAAATATTGAAAAACAATAAATTTTTTTTCTGAAAAAAGGTTTTTCTCTACAAATTTTTAGGGTTTTTATACACTCATACGTACTTCTTACGATTGAAATGGAGACGCATAAATAATGCCTAAAATTAATTTATTAGAATTTTTATTTGATAGAATTTTCTTTTAGCCGAATTTTTATTTGCTGAAATTTTATTTAAACTAAATTTCTATTAAACCAATTTTATAGACCGACAAACGGGGGCTATTATACTCAGCGCCAGTTTTTAATTAATAAAATATTTATATTGAAATGTTTAAAGTTGAAACTTGGTGTAAATATTGTTTGACAGTTTTAATAGAGAGGGCACTAAATGTTATTACTTTATTTTTTTGTCAAAACGCAGGAAAATGTTCATAAAATCATGAAAGTCTGAAATTTTTTTTTTTTTTTTTGCACATTCGCAAACTTTTTTTTTTACTGAATTTCGAAGAGTTTTCTAGTATTTCTATTTATTATCGTAATTTAGTCTATTTACAGAAAAGATTTCACATAGCAAAAGCTATAGAAAAAAAATGTTGAGGATATTTTTAAATCAACAAATTTTACTGAGTATAATAGCCCCAACCCACCATTTCAATTCGAACAACTGAAAATCCGCAGCTAAAAGTAAATTATATCTAGTGGATTTTTATCAAATAAAAATTCTAAGAAATTAATTTTAGACATTAATTATGCGTTTCTAAAAATTTAATTTCGAATTTTTTAGTTTCTAAGGAGAAAAAAAATTGTTTTTAAATTTTTCCTTAAAACCTCTCGTAATTTTTAAAAATTTTAGTTTGTTTCTCTATTACTAAAAATTTGTAGAGAAAAAAAGATGGCTTTTTTCAGAAAAAAATTTTTTCTTTCCAAAAATTCAATTATTATTGTTTTTTTAACATTTATTGGTTTTCATTATATTTTTCCAAAGTATAAAAAAATGAAAAAATAAGCCTAGAAAAAAAATTTAAAAAAAAATATTAAAATTTTAAAAAAATTCGTGTTTCTTTATTTTTCAAGTAGAGAAAAAACATATTTTGTGAAATTAATTCTCAATGCAACCATTCGAACTGCCTTCATGATTTGAGATAGATTTGGTCTAGAATAAAATATATTTCTCACCTTTTTCTGTATTGGAAAATGACATAGACAATGACAGCATTGCCAACGAAGAGCAAGGCTATCAGGACGGTTGGTAAAATGAAATCTGTAACAAGAAAAAAAAAAAAATTTATTATTTTATAATTTAAAATCATTTTCAAAAAAAAAATTGTTTATTTCAAGCAAAGGTATTGTATAATAAAATCGTTTAAAGTTCGATAAAACTTAAAATTAAATCTCAGTCTCTCTCTCACTCTCTCGATCTCGTCTCATGCAATATATGAATACAAATGTGACACACTGAACTTTGGACACCAAGTATAATGACTAAGGAACTATAGTGCAAAGAATTATAAATAGTTTCATGCGGATCCCAATTCAAAGATCGTATTCAATTTTTGTCATAAAGAAAAATGACCTTTATGTCGAAAAACAAAATTTGTCTCATTAAAATCAGGAAGTATTATAGTTATAATTTATATCGTTTTATCGAAAAATTAACTGTCAATCGAATTTCGAAAAAATGAAAAAAGATTATTGCAGGCCTCGGATTATACGACTTTTTTGACTTTTTTTTTGAAAATACGACTTTTTTTATTTATTTGAATAAGAAGCGACTTTTTCGACTTTTTTTCCAAATTTTTTAAACAAAATAGATCTTTCTTTAATATATAATAAAAATTTTCATCAGATCTTCTTTATTTCAATTATTTAACAAATTTTTAACTGAAATTTTCTAAATAAATTAATTATTTTTAATAATTTTAATGGATTTCTTCACAAATTCAATTGTCTTAAATTATTTATCAATTAAATTTTTTTTATGAAATTCAACAATTGTATACAATTTTTAAAAAATCAAATAAAATTACCAAAAATTTTAATTTAAAATCTTTTAAAATTTATCATCTAAAACTTTTTGAAAAATAATTTCATTTTTAACACTTCTAAAATTCAATTTTTTTTAATAATTTTTATAATATTCTTTGAAAATTCAATTCTCTGAAAGTATATTTTAATTAAAAAAATGTTTAAGTTTTTAAAACTTTCAATTTAAAACCTTCTAAAATTTAATTATTTCTAAAAATGTCAACTGTATCTCAAAATTTAATGATTTTGAATGATTTTTATAATATTCTTCAAAAATTCAATTATTTGAAACTATTTTTCAATTAAAAACTTTTGAAATTTAATTTTTGTCTATAATTTCTAATAAATTACCTCCCTGAAGTTGGCTTCGACGCTCAGCGCCGAAAATTCTTTTTCGCAGAATCAAAAATTTTAAATTATATTTTTTTTTTTAATTTTTCAATCCCAAATAATACCTTGAAAAATACTTCTCAAGGCATTGTGTGGATCTTTTTAAAAAATGTTTTGATATTTTTGATTCTGCGAAAAACAATTTTCGGCGCTTAGCGTCGAAGCCAACTTCAGGGAGGTAATAAATTCTTCATCAACAGAAATCAACAAAAAATTACAATTAAAAATCACTTGAAGTTTAATTAATTTCAAAAATCTGAATTGTAAATCTTTAAATATTCAATTATGTACTTTTAAAAAATTTTATCTAAAATTATTTGATAATTTGTATTGTAAAAAAAAAAATTGCATTCAATGGAAAAACTACAGTTTTCGTTAAGTCAGATAAAATGTATATTTTAATAAAGGAATTTAATTTTTAAAATCTCTTTTTATAATTACAGTTAAACAAAAATCTGCAAATTCATGAATCAAGATAAATCCTAAATGTAAACAAAAATGTTCTCCGCGGTCGTTTCCTCAAATTGTAAATATCAAGACTCTTCGCACACTTTTATATGCATTTATGCATGAATCATTTGTACGCGCAAGGAAATGAATATAGGCATGTGGCTATTATGCTTAATATATTCACAAACACGAGCGCAACACCTTATATCTTGATATCTCTCGGAAATAAATGTAGTAAATTCATAGATGTGAATACGTAATGTGGAAAATGGTCAGGCATGAATGAAAACGATCAACAATTAACTGGCAGCTAACATAGAGTTGATTCTGAAATTATTATTTATGTATATGAGGCATTTCATATGAGAATACGCAGTCATGTCTCGGATTTTTCTCAAAATTCGGTAAATTGTAGTGATAGTGGTGCTAAATAAGTGTACAAATTTTGAATTTGAAATTTTTCATATTTTTCGAGATATTTACAATTTTACCCAATAAACTGAAAAAAACCATAAATTTTGGAACTACTTTTTTATGGTTTTCACCATAAAAATCAAATTTTTGGGTATTGTCACTATGATTTTCGTAATCAGCGCATCAAAATACATAAAAGTACGTAGTATAAAAAAAAAACAAAAATATTTTTAAAAAATACAAAATTCAAAAATTGTTTAAAAATTAAAATTTTTTTTAAAAATGTAAATAAATAAATTCCGAAAATATTGTAAAAATCGTTTGCCCATTATCGGGCTAGGCTTAAAAGTTTCGTAAAAAGAAGTAGTTTTTTTTTGAAAAATTAAAAAAAAAATCGATCAGTACGTCAAATGAGAAAAATGACTTGTTATCATTAAAACTCAAAAATTTGATAATAATATCATTTAAAAAAAATATTCGATTTTTTTTTTTTTGAAAAGTAAGTTTAAAAACACACATTTTGAAAAAAATACTTTTAAAATTGATGCATTTTTAAGGAAGTTATGAGCATTCAAAAATTAAAAGTCATGAAAAGTCTCCAATTTTGAAAATTCCATAACTCGAAAAAACGGCTTGCTAAAAAAAAATTTTAAAAATTCATGGAAGCCAGTCTCAATTAGTACTAAAAGAAAAAAAAATCTCAAAAAAATCGGAGATGCAATTGCAGATGGACGTACACTTTGGCGTGGAATACATCATATACATTCACACGAACCCGAAGACAAGATAAATAGTGTTGAATCAAAGTGCATTTGGCAACTGTGTGTTTCGTGTCAGTTTCGCTCCAATTAATATATTATTTTTTTTTTTGCATACTACGATAAGAATGTGTTCAGGACAATATTTACAAATATAAGGACATAGGAAATTATTTTAATTTTCTTTTTCCATTTCTCTCATGGCGAACAACGATCAATTGAAAATTACTCGACAAAAAAATGCAAAAAGCATACATGGGACGCATTATTATGTTCTAAAATCATTAATTAGAATTTTCATTTTATGGAATTATTTAATTTGTCATAATTATTTTTGTGCCGAATTTTTATTTGTTATGAGTCAAAAGTTTTGAACGTTCAAATGAACGAAATTTTTTTTTTTGCAACTTCTTTAAGTACGAATTTTAATACAAAATATTGTTTTAAATATCTAGAAAGAAGTTATTAATTTAATGATAGTTTAATTTATTGTTTTACTTTAAATGGCCATCATAATTTTTAATAATTTATTGATTGAAAAAAATATTTCGTTCATTTGAACGTTCAAAACTTTTGGCTCATATTTGTTCGAATTAGTATTTTGCAGAATTTTCATCAAAACGATTTTCTATATTACACAAATTTTTAAATATAACCGAAAATTCACTTCACACAATTTTAATTTCTTCAACTTTTTATTTGTTAGAATTTTTATTTCTTTGAATTTTCATTTAACATAATAGGGATTTCAAAGAAATTTAATTGGGTAGAATTTCATTGCATAGAATTTCCATATATAATCGATTTTTCATATTATACAGAATTTTTATTTGACACAACTTTCATTTGATTGTTTAATTTTTAAATTCGGGGCAAAAAAATCTCTGACGGAAATTAATTCGAACAATTAAAAGTTCTGTTAAATGAAAATTCGATCAAATAAAAAATTTCGTTAATTGAATTTTCGGTTAATTAAAAATTCTATAATAAAAAAAAATGAATTAAAGAAATTTTCTACTTATACGAATTTTTCCGTAAAAAAATGTTTAACTACCAAATTTTTGTTTGGCGGAATTTTTATTTTACAGGTATTTTTTTTATGACTTTTTATTTTAAAAAATTTTAGTATAATCAAATTATAGTTTAGCAGAATTCTCATTCTATCGAATTTTATGTGATTCGAATTATTAAATGGCAGAAATTTTAATTCACCGAATTTTAATTTGTCATAAAAATTCGTACAAATTAAAATTCGATGAATAGGAAATTCTGTCATTTAAAAATTTGAATCACGAAAAATTCGATGGAATGAGAATTCTGCTAACTTAAAATTTGATTAATGCTAAAATTCTTTTAAATAAAAAGTCATGTAAAGAAAATAGCTGTAAAATAAAAAATCTCCCAAACAAAAATTTGGTAGCTAAAAATTTTGTTATGTAAAAATTCGTATAAAAATTATTTTTTTTTTAAATTTTAATTCGAAAATTGTAAATTTGTCTAGAAAACAATTATTTCTAATAAAATATCTATTTTAAAATAAAAATTCTAATTAATGATTTTTATGAGATAATCAGGAGCCCTAAATTTTGTTAAATAGTTTAAAAAAGAAATTTAATTCTTTCAAGCATTATCATTGTCGCTAAAACAAAAGGAATTAAATTCTACGATAATTGAAGCGAAAATCAATTTGTAAAAATGAAGAATTAAATTACATGTCTCTAATTTTAGGATTTTCATTTCATTTTCGAATTTTAACGTTTTTCATTCAACTGGAATAATTTTTTATTTAATAAAATTGCAAAATGAAGCTCCTTTTAATATATTTTCATTACTTTATATATAGAGGCATTTCATGTGAGATTTTCATCGCAGAAAAATTTTTTTGTCTAGGGTATTTTTTTCGAAATCTTTATGAAATTTAAAAAAAATACAAATCCTGATAAATAAAAATTCGAACAAATAGAAAATTTCGTTAAATGAATTTTTGCCTTTAAATAAAAATTCTATAATATGAAAAATCGTTAATACGGGAATTCTGTCAAATAATAATTTCAAGAAATACGTCGGTGAAGTTCACAACGTTTATTATCAACGATTAAGAAAAAAAAAAAAAAAAAAAAACGATGAAGAAGAAAAAATATTTTCCCATGCAAATTATTATTATTTTTGATCTACAAAATTTTTTGCAACGTTTCTTGATCAACAATTATTTGAAAAAAAATTTGTAGTCAAAAAATTAGTTATTATTTTTTAAGTGGAAAATATTTTTTTTTTTTTTGAATCGTTGATCATAAACGTTGTAAACTTCACCGACGTCAAGAAATGAATATTTTTCGAAAAGAAAATTCTCAATAATGAAAATTCTACTGAATAAAAATTCGTATAATTATGGCTATTTTGTTAAGTTTTTTTTTGTAGTTAGGCTACTAAATTACTATAATATTAAAAGTATATATAGTATCAAATATAAAATTACCATTATTATAAACTGCCATATCTTGAATATGTCTTCAATTAAAATTTCTTTTTATTTCCTTAATTTTTTTTCCAACAATTTTTTTTTTATAATAAAATTGAGCTACATAAATATTTTTTTGCAAGAAAAAGTATCACACGATTCACTGCCTAACAGAGGAGTCTTGTATTTATATACATATATATATATATATATATATACACTTTGGAGTCAATGAAATAATCCGCAATGAGAAAATGAGAGAAATTACTATAGCGTATTGAGATTGAAAAATTTTCTAATGGAAAGTTATGTGATATGAAACTTTCTGAGATGAACTTTAATAATATATGAAACTTTAAAAAAAAATGATATGTGACACTGACCTACGATGTAGTCTGGTTCCTTCAACATGTTTTGCGCCGAATCCATAACTGGAGTTGAGAAATCCGCGACTGCGTTTTCGTATCCTCTTCTCACCTCTGAACCCAAGTTGTCACCAGATAGACTCGACAAATGATTCTCCTCTGCCTCAGTCTTGAGAATTAATGCTGACGTCGCTGTAAACAAAAAAAAAGAGAAAGGCACGATTAGAGGACATTAATTCTAATTCTCAATATAATCATGCAATTTAATCCGCCAGCAAGCAATAAACCGATGGAGATTGTTTTTTTTTCGCTCTTAATTACTAGATAGTCGTTTTTAATTATTCTCTACACTCTTTTTTTTTCTTAAGCTTTTTCAGAAAAGCAAAGAAAACCACATAACGGGCATTCCACGTCAGATTTTTTCATTCGATATTAATTTTTTTCGAAATCTTTATACAAAATAAAAAAATATTTTTTTTATGGCGAATTTATCATTTTTATCAAAAAATAAAATAGAAAAGAAATACCTATTTTCTTATAAATATTCATAAGTAAATGAATTTTTATTCAGCAAAATTTCATTATTGAGAATTTTCTTTTCGAAAAATATTTATTTCTTGACGTCGGTGAAGTTAACAACGTTTATGATCAACGATTCAAAAAAAAAAAATATTTTCCACTTAAAAAATAATAACTAATTTTTTGCCTACAAATTTTTTTTCAAATAATTGTTGATCAAGAAACGTTGCAAAAAATTTTGTAGATCAAAAATAATAATAATTTGCATAGGAAAATATTTTTTCTTCTTAATCGTTTTTTTTTCTTTTCTTAATCGTTGATAATAAACGTTGTGAACTTCACCGACGTATTTCTTGAAATTATTATTTGACAGAATTCCCGTATTAACGATTTTTCATATTATAGAATTTTTATTTAACCGCACAAATTCATTTAACGAAATTTTCTATTTGTTCGAATTTTTATTTATCAGAATTTGTATTTTTTTCTTTCAAATTTTCATAAAGATTTCGAAAAAAATACCCTAGACAAAAAAATTTTTTTGCGATGAAAATCTCACATGAAATGCCTCTATATATAAAGTAATGAAAATATATTAAAAGGAGCTTCATTTTGCAATTTTATTAAATAAAAAATTATTTCAGTTGAATGAAAAACGTTAAAATTCGAAAATGAAATGAAAATCCTAAAATTAGAGACATGTAATTTAATTCTTCATTTTTACAAATTGATTTTCGCTTCAATTATCGTAGAATTTAATTCCTTTTTTCCAGCGACAATGATAATGCTTGAAAGAATTAAATTTCTTTTTTAAACAATTTAACAAAATTTAGGGCTCATGATTATCTCATAAAAATCATTAATTAGAATTTTTATTTTAAAGTAGATATTTTATTAGAAATAATTATTTTCTAGACAAATTTTCAAATTAAAATTGAAAAAAAAAAATTTTATACGAATTTTTACTTAACAAAATTTTTAGCTACAAAATTTTTGTTTGGCAGAATTTTTATTTTAAAGCCATTTTCTTTACATGACTTTTTATTTAAAAGAATTTTAGTATTAATCAAATTTTTAGTTAGCAGAATTCTCATTCCATCGAATTTTCCGTGATTCGAATTTTTAAATGACAGAATTTCCAATTCATCGAATTTTAATTTGTACGAATTTTTATGAATTTTTAAGACACCAAATTTTCCGAGGAATTTTCATTTGTCCGAAATTACAAGTTACCGAACAAGTAATCAACAAAAATATTTCGGTGCAATTTTTTGAAAATTGACCAATCACGACTTTTTTGATAATTTTTAATTGGTCAATTTTTAAAAAATTCTAATTCGGCAATTTGTCATTTCGGACAAATGAAAATTCGGCGTCTTAAATTTCGTACAAATAAAAATTCTGACAAATTAAAAATCGTCGAATTAGAATTTCTGTCATTTAAAAATTCGAATCACATAAAATTCGATGGAATGAGAATTCTGCTAAATTAAAATTTGATTAATACTAAAATTCTTTTAAATAAAAAGTCATGTAAAGAAAATAGCTGTAAAATAAAAATTCCGCCAAACAAAAAACTTGGTAGTTAAAAATTTTTTTACATAAAAATTCGTATAAAAAGAAAATTTCTTAAATTTTAATTCGAAAAATTGTCTATAGAAAATAATATCTAGTTTAAAATAAAAAATTCTAATTAATGATTTTTATGAGAAATTCATGCGCTCTAAATTTATACAAGAAAATAAATCAAATTAAAATTAAATCGAAGGAGTCATATATGTTTTACTTTTTATAATTATGTATGTAAATTACAATTTTTCAATATTTCTAGCTATTCATATATTTTATCCGTTTTCTCAGAATCATTAATCATATCACAATCGAATATGCATATTTTTTTTTAAAATTAATTTCTCTTTTATCATTTGCAAGTAATGTGAAAATAAATTAAATATTTTCCATACCTAATTTAATAACTAATTATGTTATTGAGAATTGATTTTTATTAAATTTATAAAACAATATTACATCTACTTTTATAACAATGATAAATTATTGAATGAAATTAATTTTGCAGAATTATAACGAATTAATTTTATTAATATAAAAGACATTTTTAGTCATTTTTTTCAATAATTTTTAAATCATTTCCTGCTTTTTTATAATATGATAACGATAACTTGTTATGCAAAAATAATTTTTAATCAATATGAAGTGTTAATATTTATTCCTCTAAGTAAAAAAAAAACATAATTATTATCAATAATTATTCAGTAATTACTTCTCCTATCTATTGCACGTCTTTATTTAAAAAAAATTTTCTCTTACTTTTAAATGACCATTATAAAATAAAGAAGATCAAAAAATAAAATTTGTTTTTACTAAATTAAAAAATATATTTTTTGTTTATATTTGTTTTACTATTTTTTTTTATTTTTTATTTAGATTTCCTGCGTACACCTTTTTATAGTTTTTACGCTCTGTATACCCCATCTTTAACCCCACCTTTTTGAAAATCCCAAATTCCTCAAGTCCCCAAATTGCGGTCCGTAGCCGACTTTTATTAGAAGTATTCGCATTTGCCTGACCCTATTTGTTTTACTATTATAATAATAGAAAATAATTTTGTATATTGCTGTATAAGAAATTTGTGAAATTTTGTAAAACTACACAATTGAGAAAATAAATTTAATAAAAAATAAGAATAACAAATAAACAAAATAAATATAATAAATAGCAAATAAATAAATGAAAAATAATCGAAAAATAGTAATAAATAATTATTTATTATATATATTATTATTATTATTTTATTATAATAAAAAAATAAAAAATAATTATAATTATAATAATAAATAATACAATAAAATAAAAATTAATTAATAATTAATGTAATTTTATTAAAAATTAATATTTTCAATGTTGTCATTTAAATGAAAAACAATTATTTTCACATATCGCAGATTGTTTTAACAATTGCATTTAAACTAGAATATTTACAGATTAAAAATAGACTGTCATTCATTGCAGAAAGTCGACTTTGGACTCTTACGGGATTTTAAATTATAAAAAGAGACTGACAGACATTTATCTGGCTTCCTTTCTCTTTAAGAAGGAATAATGTGACAATTTTTTTTTTTCAATTTTTTTTTTATAGATAACATCATAAAAATTTGAATAATAAAAAAAAGTGACGGAATGCTAGAAAAATAAATGAAAATGCGATATTACGTTTTTTAAAGTAGAAAAAATCAGCCTTTTTTGTTAAATAGCCATTTGTAAATAAAGAGTAATTATTAAATGTAAAAACGAAAGTACTTAAGTATATGTTACACACTTATATGAAATTCCGAATTATATGCGATTTCTCTCTCTCTAAAGTTTACAACAATTTTAAAGTATATGCTTGAGTTTACTTTTTTTGTCGGCAAACTCCAATATATATATATATAACTAATAATCAAAAACAACTTAAAAAGTTTTATGACTACATTTTAGTAATTACAAAATTTATATATGAACAACTTTTCAAACACGGTTTATATGGTTTACTTTCACAATAATAAAGACAAAAAAAAAAAAAAATTAATGTAAATTTATTCTTTCTATCGTATATAAAGGATAAAAGACACTTGCAATAAAAGGTTGAATCATCACTTCATTTAATACAAGACGACTTTTATGATAGATAATGAAAGTACTCTTTTCAATGTTTATTTTCTTTTGAAAATTTATTTTTTAATTATATTGAAAAAAAAATTTTTAAAGTTTATGATCAACTATTTAGAAAAAAATATTTTTCTGTTTAAAATTTTTTTTTCCACTTTTCTCAATCACCAATTTAAAAAAATAATTTGTATGCAAAAAATTAACGTCGGTGAAGTTTAATAGACAAAAAAATTTTTTATTTGGAAAATAATAATTAATTTTTATCTTACAAATTTTTCATTTTATTTATTTATTTAGTAATAAACTTATAAAAATTTATTCTTTTAAAAATTGTTCGAGAAACGTTGCAAAAAATTTTTTAAAACAAAAAATTATAATTTGAAAAAAATATTTTTTTTCCAAATCGTTTTTTGTTTGTCAATATTTTCATATTAAAATTTATTAATTAATAAAAATAAAAAAACTATACATCCTTCCATATGACGATGAGAATAAAAAAAAGGTTTAAGATTTTGTTCACCTTATCAAAAACCATTCGACATTTTTATCTTATCGGTTTGAGTGGGAATTAATGATTTTGACGATAATTTTTCAATTATAGAAAATTAAAACATCTTTTGTTTTCTTCACTGTTTTTTATAGAATTTCTTATAATCCTTTTTTTTCACTTATAAATTTTTGAAATTTTTCAATAAAATTAAAATTAATTTTATAAGAATGTTCAACTATATATAAACAGAAAATAAAATTACAGCCTTTGCTTTGAAAATTAATTTTGTCTCCATAAAAATAATTCAACGCTATTTACCTGATCGGAAAAAAGAAATAAAATTTTGTTGATATTTTCAAAGAATTTCTCGTAAAAAAAAAAAAGAAGAAGAGTTATTATCTCTTCGTGACGAACACTTCACGATACATAAACGCACTAACAATATCAATGAAGGCAAGCGGGTTCCTTTGAATTATCACAGCACCAGTGCTGCCTAATTGACATTTATTGTCCA